CAAAGTTATGCAACACCCAATTCCCCTGTGTGAAAAAGTAATTGCCCCCTTACACTCAATAACTGGTTGTGCCACCTTTAGCTGCAATGACTCCAACCAAATGATTCCTGTAGTTGTTGATCAGTCTCTCACATCGCTGTGGAGGAATTTTGGCCCACTCTTCCATGCAGAACTGCTTAACGTGTGGGTTTTCAAGCATGAACTGCTCGTTTCAAGTTCAAGTTTGACTAGGCCATTCCAAAACATCCAATCTGTTGCTTTTTAGCAATTTTCATGTAGACTTGATTGTGTGTTTTGGATCATTGTCTTGCTGCATGACCCAGCTGCGCTTCAGCTTCAGCTCACAGACGGATGGTCTGACATTCTCCTGTAGAATTCTCTGATACAGAGCAGAATTCATGGTTCCTTCTATTAAGGCAAGTCGTCCAGGTCCTGAGGCAGCAAAGCATCCCCAAACCATCACACCACCACCACCATGCTTGACCTTTGGTATGATGTTCTTACTGTGGAATGCAGAGTTTGGTTTTCGCCAGGCATTACTGGAACCATGTCGTCCAAAAAGTGATACTTTTGAATCATCTGTCCATAGAACGTTCTTCCAAGAGTCTTGATGATCATCCAGGTGCTTTTTGGCAAACTTGAGTCAACTTTTTGGACGAGATGGGTCCCATTTATGCCTGGCGAAAACCAAACACTGCATTCCACAGTAAGAACATCATACCAAAGGTCAAGCATGGTGGTGGTGGTGTGATGGTTTGTATCATTTGATTTACACAACATGCCTACCACTTTGAAGATGCAAAATATTTTTGGTGTGAAACAAACAAGAAATAAGACAAAAAAACAGAAAACTTGAGCATGCATAACTATTCACCCCCTGCTGGAAGGAAAACCTCCATCCCAATCTCAAATCTCTGGAAGACTGAAACAGGTTTCCCTCAAGAATTTCCCTGTATTTAGCGTCATCCATCATTCCTTCAATTCTGACCAGTTTCCCAGTCCCTGCAGATGAAAAACATCCCCACAGCATGATGCTGCCCCCACAATGCTTGGTGGTGTTCTCGGGGTGATGAGAGATGTTGGGTTTGGGCCAGACATAGCGTTTTCCTTGATGGCCAAAAAGCTCAATTTTAGTCTCATCTGACCAGAGTACCTTCTTCCATATGTTTGGGGAGTCTCCCACATGCCTTTTGGTGAACACCACACGTGTTTGCTTCTTTTTTTCTTTAAGCAATGGCTTTTTTCTGGCCACTCTTCCTTAAAGCCCAGCTCTGTGGAGTGTACGGCTTAAAGTGGTCCTATGGACAGATACTCCAATCTCCACTGTGGAGCTTTGCAGCTCCTTCAGGGTTATCTTTGGTCTCTTTGTTGCCTCTCTGATTAATGCCCTCCTTGCCTGGTCTGTGAGTTTTGGTGGGCGGCCCTCTCTTGGCAGGTTTGTTGTGGTGCCATATTCTTTCAATTTTTTATAATGGGATGTTAAAAGTTTTGGATATTTTTTTAAAACCCAACCCTGATCTGTACTTCTCCACAACTTTGTCCCTGACCTGTTTGGGGAGCTCCTTGGTCTTCATGGTGCCGCTTGCTTGGTGGTGCCCCTTGCTTAGTGGTGTTGCAGACTCTGGGGCCTTTCAGAACAGGTGTATACAGTGAGGGAAAAAAGTATTTGATCCCCTGCTGATATTGTACGTTTGCCCACTGACAAAGACATGATCAGTCTATAATTTTAATGGTAGGTTTATTTGAACAAAAAAATCAAAATGTCAAAAATGTTAGAAATTGATTTGCATTTTAATGAGGGAAATAAGTATTTCACCCCTCTGCAAAACATGACTTAGTACTTGGTGTCAAAACCCTTGTTGGCAATCACAGAGGTCAAACATTTCTTGTAGTTGTCCACCAGGTTTGCACACATCTCAGGAGGGATGTTCCACTCCTCTCTGCAGATCTTCTCCAAGTCATTAAGGTTTCGAGGCTGACGTTTGGCAACTCGAACCTTCAGCTCCCTCCACAGATTTTCTATGGGATTAAGGTCTGGAGACTGGCTAGGTCACTCCAGGACCTTAATGTGCTTCTTCTTGAGCCACTCCTTTGTTGCCTTGGCCGTGTGTTTTGGGTCACTGTCATGCTGGAATACCCATCCACTACCCATTTTCAATGCCCTGGCTGAGGGAAGGAGGTTCTCACTCAAGATTTGACGGTGCATGGCCCCGTCCATCGTCCCTTTTGATGCGGTGAAGTTGTCCTGTCCCCTTAGCAGAAAAACACCCCCAAAGCATAATGTTTCCACCTCCATGTTTGACGGTGGGGATGGTGTTCTTGGGGTCATAGGCAGCATTCCTCCTCCTCCAAACACGGCGAGTTGAGTTGATGCCAAAGAGCTCGATTTTGGTCTCATCTGACCACAACACTTTCACCCAGTTCTCCTCTGAATCATTTAGATGTTTATTGGCAAACTTCAGACGGGCCTGTATATGTGCTTTCTTGAGCAGGGGGACCTTGCGGGCGCTGCAGGATTTCAGTCCTTCACGGCGTAGTGTGTTACCAATTGTTTTCTTGGTGACTATGGTCCCAGCTGCCTTGAGATCATTGACAAGATCCTCCCGTGTAGTTCTGGGCTGATTCCTCACCGTTCTCATGATCATTGCAACTCCACGAGGTGAGATCTTGCATGGAGCCCCAGGCCGAGGGAGATTGACAGTTATTTTGTGTTTCTTCCATTTGTGAATAATAGCACCAACTGTTGTCACCTTCTCACCAAGCTGCTTGGCGATGGTCTTGTAGCCCATTCCAGCCTTGTGTAGGTCTACAATCTTGTCCCTGACATCCTTGGAGAGCTCTTTGGTCTTGGCCATGGTGGAGAGTTTGGAATCTGATTGATTGATTGCTTCTGTGGACAGGTGTCTTTTATACAGGTAACAAGCTGAGATTAGGAGCACTCCCTTTAAGAGTGTGCTCCTAATCTCAGCTCGTTACCTGTATAAAAGACACCTGGGAGCCAGAAATCTTTCTGATTGAGAGGGGGTCAAATACTTATTTCCCTCATTAAAATGCAAATCAATTTATAACATTTTTGACATGTGTTTTTCTGGATTTTGTTGTTGTTATTCTGTCTCTCACTGTTCAAATAAACCTACCATTAAAATTATTGACTGATCATTTCTTTGTCAGTGGGCAAACGTACAAAATCATCAACTTTATTTAACTAATTATGTGATTGGTTGCACCAGATCTTATTTAGGGGCTTCATAGCAAAGGTGGTGAATACATATGCACGCACCACTTTTCCGTTATTTATTTATTTGCATTTTTTTAAACAAGTTTTATTTTTTTCATTTCACTTTATTTTGTGTATGTCCATTACATGAAATCCAAATTAAAATCCATTTAAATTTAAACAGGTTGTTATGCAACAAAATAGGAAAAACGCCAAGGGGGATGAATGCTTTTGCAAGGCACTGTAGTGCTCCTCTTTGAGGAGATTCCCTAGCCCTGAGTACCAACCCACACAGTCATGTAATGTGCCCTAAAACATAAAAGTATGGACTTTAAAACCAGTAGATAATGATAGTGTTGACTTCATCCACATATTCCTATGGAAAATGCTGCATGAATAATAAAAATATTAATATGCCATTTAGCAGACACTTTTATCCAAAGCCACTTCCAGTCATGTGCATACATTTTTACGTATGGGTGGTCCCGGGGATCGAACCCACTACCCTGGCGTTACAAGCGCCATGCTCTATCAATTGAGCTACAGAGGACCACGAAGCCGGAGTATTTGAATTTGAAGTGTGCCATATTGCTGAATGGTGCTGAATAGAGCCCCACAGTTGAGGTGGCATAATACCTAGTGGTCAAACAGGGAAATGGTTCATTCAAAACTACAAATGACTGCAAGCTCCTGCACGTCATCTCTAGCTGATACAGTACCTTTGCTAAAAAAAAACTTTAGCTGACATGGGCTAGTTGATCTGGACACGTCTGACAAGTTATAAATAGCTCTCTAAGATATGTAATGACTAACACGACAAGAGGAACTGATGATGCACTTACCAATTTTGAAAGGGCCGTAACTAGCAAACGATCATGGTCGATGTATTCGTTTTCATCCTGCCTGAGAGAGTTCGGTTTTATTGTCTTTGGAGAGAGTCAACCGGGAGCCTCCTCGTAGCAAGCCGGCCCATGATTGGTCTGTGATAGCACGTGGTCCTGTGTGATGACAAATGTAGTTGTCTTAATGGATCACTATTTAATTAAATATCTCGATTTGTAGCAAACTTTAAAATAATTCACTGTGGGGATCGAACTCGATCTAGAGCCCAAAACGTCTGCCTAAAAAAGTTTTGTTTGGCCATTCTGGCGATCGTAATTTACATGGGCTTTCTAGGGCAGACCAGGGCTTTTGGCACCAGGTTGCTAAGCAGTAGCCAACCAGCAGAGCTCGTGCGTTTACACTCCAAAGCGGACACTGGGGCCCTGCATAAAAGTGTGCCTTAACAAACCATATGAAGCAAAGAGAATGTGCAGTAGGCCTATGATATAATCAAGGTTGTGTCCATGTTACGTATTGCCCATAATAAAGAGAAAAGTGCAAAGGCAGCTCTATGTGCTCTGAAACTCTTAACTCATACAGTCAATACGTGGTAGAATGTGCCGTGACTGACTTTTTATGAGTGAATGTAGATAACAGTGAGTGTAGATGGTTGACACCACAACACACTCTAACACTGATACTAGTAGTTGGCAACACTGATACTATAGTGGATTGAATAATCTGGAGTATAGCCATGAGGATGTGCAGAAACAAATAACCTGGCATGATTAGCCACAGACAAATCTTAACCACATTATATCCCCATGGTAACATTATATCCACATGGTAACATTTATATTGTGAATAGTTTGCCTTAATGGATATCCTGCCAATGTTAGCATTTTGATTTGGAGCTCACAATCCCATTCATTGTCATCCATTGTCTCCTGTTGTTCCACAGACGGTGAGGGAGAGGAGGAAGACTCAGGAGCACACAGTGGATGAGGAGCCTTCACCCCTCAGCAAATGCAGTCAAGTCGACCTGGACACAGTGAGAGAAAAACACAACCAGAAAAAGAGAGTGGGAGAGAGAGAATCAGAAAGAAAACTGGAAGAAAAAAAGACTAAGATAGAAAGATATAATATAGAAAGATCTAGACCAGGGGTGTCAAACTCATTTTAGCTCAGGGGCCACATGGAGGAAAATCTATTCCCAAGTGGGCCGGACCGGAAAAATCATGGTGTATATATAACTTAAAAACAACAACTTCAGATTGTTTTATTTGTTTTAATACGATCAACATACAACATAAAGCTGGAGCCTGAGGACAGTGTGTCCAAAATAGTACAAGCACAACATCACTATTAATCATAAAACACGTCAAGTTTATTTGAAAATTCTAAAGAAAAAGAACACACAAACACACAATGCCTCAGTGATTAACAGAACTGTTTCACAGATCACAGAACTATATCAGGGTGTCATTTCTCAGGCAGAAATGTAGATAAAAATAATGAAATCCTGTTCCCCAAACAAGTGCAAGAACCACAGAGTCAAGAATAGGTTAAATATACAAATAAAATAAAATCAATTAAAAACAATAGCACATCAACATAAAAACATATAAACATAAAGCTGGAGCCTGAGGACAGTGTCCAAAAGCACAACATCACTATTAATCATAAAACACCTCAAGTTATTTAAAAGTTCTGAGGACAAAGAACACACAAACACACAATGCCTCAGTGATTAACAGAACTGTTTCACAGATCACAGAACTATATCAGGGTGTCATTTCTCAGGCAGAAATGTAGATAAAAATAATGAAATCCTGTTCCGCAAACAAGTGCAAGAACCACAGAGTCAAGAATAGGTTAAATATACAAATAAAATAAAAACAATTAAAAACAATAGCACATCAACATAAAAACATATAAACATAAAGCTGGAGCCTGAGGACAGTGTCCAAAAGCACAACATCACTATTAATCATAAAACACCTCAAGTTATTTGAAAGTTCTGAGGACAAAGAACACACAAACACACAATGCCTCAGTGATTCACAGAAGTATATCACAGATCACAGAACTATATCAGGGTGTCATTTCTCAGGCAGAAATGTAGATAAAAATAATGAAATCCTGTTCCCCAAACAAGTGCAAGAACCACAGAGTCAAGAATAGGTTAAATATACAAATAAAATAAAATCAATTAAAAACAATAGCACATCAACATAAAAACATATAAACATAAATCTGAAAGCGTTGCTCAAACTCCCGTAACAGTCCCGTTATTTTATCTTTGAACCGCTTCATGTCTGCCACATGTTGGGTCGCGCACACATTTTTCAGACAGGGGAAGTGAGCTGCATCACCACCGGCAAGTTGCGTCTCCCACAATGACAGCTTCAACTTGAAAGAACGTATGCTGTCATAATACTGCGTGACAACTTTGTTGCGCCCTTGCAGCTGTTTGTTCAAGTTATTCAGGTGCTCTGTAACATCCACCATAAATGCAAGGTCCTGCATCCATTCTGCGGAATGAAATTCTAACACTGGTTTGCCCTTTTCTTCCATGAACTGTTCAATTTCTTCTCGTAAATCAAAGAAACGCCTTAGCACAGCACCTCGGCTTAACCATCTTACCTCAGTGTGGTATGGCAGGCCATAGATGTGGTCTTTCTCTCTGAGAAGGCTGTCAAACTGACGGTGATTCAGGCTTCTGGATCGGATGAAATTAACAGTTTGGATGACCACCTTCATGACGTTATCCATCTTTAATGACTTGCAACACAAAGCCTCCTGGTGCAAAATACAGTGAAAAGTCAAAAAATCACGTCCTCCATTTGCAGATTGCACTTTCTCTCTGAACTTTGTCACAACGCCTGCTTTTTTCCCGATCATTGAGGGCGCACCATCTGTAGCCAGGCTGACAGCGTGGGACCAGTCCACTCCGACCCTGTCCAGCGCGCCAACGAGTGCAGTAAAAATATCAGCTGCTGTCGTTGTATCTGTCATCGGCACCAACTCCACGAACTCCTCGGTGACGGTCAATGTGTCATCAACTCCGCGGATGAAAATGGCCAGTTGTGCAACATCTGTAATGTCCGTGCTTTCATCAATTGCAACCGAAAACGCAATAAATGACTTTACTTTTTGCTTCAACTGGCTGTCCAAATCCACTGAAAGATCGGAAATCCTGTCTGCAACTGTGTTTCTTGTCAGGCTGATATTTGCAAAAGCCTGCCGCTTTTCAGGGCACACAATCTCCGCTGCCTTCATCATGCATGTTTTTACAAATTCACCCTCACTAAATGGTTTTGAAGCCACTGCGATTTCATTAGCAATGAGGTAGCTAGCTTTCACTGCAGCGTCACTGATGTCTCTGCTGTGAGTAAACACAGACTGCTGTTTCTTCAGACCCGCCAACAGTTCATTCACCTTCTCTCATCTCCGCTGTCCTTGAAAGTTGTCATATTTGTCGGCATGAAGACTCACATAGTGGCGACGAAGGTTATATTCTTTCAGCACTGCAACATGCTCAGAACACACCAAACATACAGCTTTCCCATTCAATTCCGTGAATAAATAGGATGACCATTTTTCTTGGAACACTCTGCACTCTGCGTCCACTTTTCTCTTTTTTGACAGAGACATATTGGGGCAATGAGGGTGCCAAAGCACATAATGTTAAAAGTAGAAGCCGTAATAAATATCGCGGGCAAAACAAAGTAGCTCATTGGCTGCACGTGCTTGACCTACTTGCTCTGCCCCGGTATAAACAGTTTGCTTGCTTAACACAATTGCTATTGCGCCATTAGTGGACGCAATTGGAACAGCAGTTTATTTTATTGAAAAATTGCAGCGCATTTTTATACTTTACAAAATTATTATTATTATTATTATGATTATTATTATATTTTTTTCAAAATCATCTCGCGGGCCGGATTAAACCCGTTTGCGGGCCTGATTCGGCCCGGACGTTTGACACCCCTGATCTAGAGGATGTCCCTTAGATCAGGCTGAGCATTAAAACCCAACCACTGCAGCAGGCCTACAGCCAGCCAGCCAGGAAGTGACTGGTGATCTTATCAGGGGTTGTTCTTGGGTTGAACTACAAGTCAAAATAGAGCTCAGATTCCAGAGCCGTACTGTATTTGAAACTGTCATTTGCCCAACACTGTGGCACTGCGTCTCTGGTCTGTAGGAGCTGTCATTGTTGCAGGTAGGCAGGGTTTTGCAACGTCAATGTGTCTGGTCCAAGGCCCTTGAGTTCAGTTCTCCTGCTGCTCTGACTGAGGCCTGTGAGCTACAGCATGCTCCTGCATTGACACATAGAGGGGGGGAAGATAGAGAAAGAGACAGGGGAAAGATAGAGAGGTGACCACTTTTACGGTCATTCACCCAGCTTTGCTAATAAATCTGTGCCCACCCATTTTCACAGCTAATCATTGAAGACAGTTTGGGAGTAGTTTCGGGGCAGTTATAATCATAATTTATGATAGTCTATAGTAGATGGGCTATGTGGCAGGTTTATCAGTGTTCAGTAGAGATAGACAGGGTACGGTATGCACAGAGTGATGTACTAGTGTAAAGGTTCCATATCTCAGGGGAGATATTGCTATGCTCTCAATGACAGAACAGGGGCAGTCTTCCTCAGGCCTTAGGAATGTTTTTGGATTAGCTAGTGGATAGCAGCCAGTCACCTTTGCTTTGCAACAGGTGGCCACCTGTGTGTGTGAGGGCCAGCTCTGTGTGTGTTTGTCATTGTGATGCACTGAGTGATGGCATAATGCTTGACATTGATTATCACATACAGTGCCTTCAGAAAGTATTCATACTCCTTGACTTGAAAACATGTTTTTATCAATGTTTGTACATTTATTGAAAATGTCAAGTTGGTTGTTGATCATTGCTAGACAGACATTTTCAAGTCTAGATTTTCAAACTGATTTAAGTCAAAACTGTAACTAGGCCACTCAGGAACATTCAATGTCGTCTTGGTAAGCAACTCCAGTGTATATTTGGCCTTGTGTTTTAGGTTATTGTCCTGCTGAATGTTGAAACAAGGTTCTTTACTGGTGGACCTGAAGCCAGGATACAAAATAACGGACTTAACACGAAAAAGAAAGGCGGAGCAAATAAGACTCCAAAAACAGGCTGACAGCCAAAATACGAAATACTAACTATGGCTGAAATAATAAAGAAACAGGGAGAACACTTCTCAAGTACCTGTCCATACGTCTCGCGATCAGACACTGATTGGTACTGCTTGGCATAGTGAAACTAGCAGAGGTGGCTAAGGTTGTCGGAGGGGGACACCTAGTGGATCGCTCCGGAACTGCGACCCCCTCCTGTAACAGTGTTGGATTTGCCCCAAACATAACACTTTGTGTTCCCGACATAAAGTTCATTTCTTTGCCACATTTTGCCTTATTGCAAACAGGATGCATGTTTTGGATTATTTTTCTTCTGTACAGGCTTCCTTTTCACTCTGTCATTTAGGTTAGTATTGTGGAGTAACTACAATGTTGTTGATCCATTCTCAGTTTTCTCCTATCACAGCCATTAAACTCTGTAACTCTTTTAAAGTCACCATCGGCCTCATGGTGAAAACCCTGAGCGGTGTCCTTCATCTCCAGCAACTGAGTTAGGAAGGACGCCTGTATCTTTGTAGTGACTGGTTGCATTGATACACTATCCAAAGTGTAATTAATAACTGCACAATGCTCAAAGGGATATTCAATGTCTGCTTTTTTTCCCCTCCCATCTACCAATAAGTACCCTTCTTTGCGTGGCATTAGAAAAACTCCCTGGTCTTTGTGGTTGAATCTGTTTTGGAAATTCACTGCTCGACTGAGGGACCTTTCAGATAATTGTATGTGTGGGGTAGGTAGTCATTTAAAAAATCATGTTAAACACTATTATTGCACACAGAGTGAATCAATGCAACGTATTATGTGACTTGCTAAGCACATTTTTACTCCTGAAGGGGTTGAATACTTATTGAACCAAGACATTTCAGCTTTTCATTTTTTATTACTTTGTAAAAATGTCTAAAAACATAATTCCACTTTGACGTAATGGGATATTGTGTGTAGGCCAGTGACACCAAATTTCAATTCAATCAATTTTAAATTCAGGCTGTAACACAACAAAATGTGGAAAAAGTCAAGGGGTGTGAATACTTTCTGAAGGCACTGTACCTAGTGCAGCTTGTCGCCTCTTGGCTCATTCAGCCCTACGTACTTACACAGTGGAGGAATTTGTGTCCTGAATACCATGACACTTATGTCACTCATTGTTATCTTATTGACCTATCAGTTTGCTTCTCAACACATACCTGAAACCCCATTCTCCACTTTTAACCTTCTCTCCAATACAATCGATGTCCTCAATGAATGGTTTTACATTTCTGTTTGCCTCAATTGATCCAACATTGTCTACTATAGCAAAAAGCAATTTCATGCATGGCACTGTAGTCTAGTTAGTATAGTACCCACCTTACCTATAATCTATGATAATGTATAAGAGACCATGACTCTGAGAACCAGCCAATCTCAGTCTGCCTAGTCTCTATCTAAGGTCATGTTAAAGGGTAAAGGAGACATTTAGTAACAGGTATGGACAGAGATACGATCTGCAGATCCTTCACAGAAATTGGGATCACACGTTTATCAGGGAGTTACACAACGCCTCTACTTCCTGGGTCTGAAGTGTGGTGGTGTGTTGTGGTGCGGTAACTCCCTCCTCTGGCCAGCTGTCTGTCTATCTACCGCCACCTGATGGACAACCACAACACCGTCAGAAGGGCCCAGACCGATTCATCACATAAAGCTATGACTGAAATACGTTTAGAGTCCAATTTCCATTTATCTAGAAAAATATGTACTTTGACAATTGGAAGGTTTTAGGCAGAAGCAGTACTGATGAGGTTATGACACTCAATAGAGATCTTGAATTAAACTGTTGTGTTGTGTGCTGTAAGGCGTAAGTTACTGTATGTATAGTGTTGTAACCTGAGCTGTGTCTCCCCTGCTATGCCTGCAGGACCTGGTGGACTGGCGGAAGCCCCTGGCCTGGCAGGTGGGAAACCTGGGAGAGAAATACGACACCTGGGTGCACCAGCCTGTGGATCGGCCCATTCGCCTGTTTGGGAACGAGTTCATGGAGGCCAGCACCAAGACATCCTGGTAAGAGAGATGATATGTACATGTTTCCCAGACACAGATTAAGTCCTGAATTTAAAGGCTTTTTCAATTGAGACTCTTTTAAACTCTGGGGAAGTCCCAAACTTTCCCTTCAAGCATACTTTTTAGTCCAGACTAAGCTTAATCGCTGTCAGGAAAACCAGCCCATACAGTGTAGAAAAGCACTTACATTTGCGTCATTTAGCAGACACTCTTATCCAGAGTGACTTTCAGGAGCAATTAGGGTTAAGTGCTCAAGGGCACATCGGCAGATTTTTCACTTAGTCAGCTCAGGGATTCAAACCAGCGACCTTTCGGTTACTGGCCCAACAAGCTTATTACATTTACGTCATTTAGCAGACGCTCTTATCCAGAGCGACTTACAAATTGGTGCATTCACCTTGTAGCCAGTGGGATAACCACTTTCCAATATGTTATTTTTTGGGGGGTGCACTGGGGTGGGGTAAGGGGGGGTAGAAGGATTACTTTATCCTATCCCAGGTATTCCTTAAAGAGGTGGGGTTTCAAGTGTCTCCGGAAGGTGGTGAGTGACTCCGCTGTCCTGGCGTCGTGAGGGAGCTTGTTCCACCATTATCCGCTAGGCTACCTGCCGCCCATGCTACCTTGCTACCCGCCGCCCGAACACTTGCATGTTACCTCCGAAGCTGCTGTTTGGGTTGAGATGATAAGTCATATGATTGTCTGTGTGTAGGTATATGGTCCCTGCTGTGTGGATGCCACTGGTGTTCTATCTCAGCTGGTACTGCTACACCACCCTGGCTCAGGAGACAACCAGACTGTTCGCCAGCACAGGTAACAAAGACACAATCATCAGACCTGGGTTAAAATACTATTCAGGGTAGTAAGTATTTGGATATTTTTTATTTGAAAATACAAGTAGTTCAATATTGGAATGTATTTGGAAATGCACTTGTAAAGTATTGGCATGTATTTGAAAATACTCAAATACACAGTAGTTATACAAATACTTAAATACACCCATGCATTTGAACCAGTCTGTTTGGTATTTGAAATAATGTATTAGTTATACTATTTTGATATTGAATACTGCACTGTTGGATAGGCTTGCAAGTTAAGCATTTCACTGTACTTATGCCAAATGTAACAAATAAAACTTGAAACTTGAAGTATTTGAAAGTATTTTCAAATAGTTTCCTATAAATAGCCTACTTTTTGAAAGTATTTTAAAATACTTATAAAAATACAACCCTGGCGTTGCAAACACCATGCTCTACCAACTGAGCTACATCCCTGCCGGCCATTCCCTCCCCTACCCTGGACGACGCTTTGTCTAACCTCCCGAGTGGCGCAGTGGTCTAAGGCACTGCATCGCAGTGCTAGCTGTGCCACTAGAGATCCTGGTTCGAATCCAGGCTCTGTCGTAGCCGGCCGTGCCCGGGAGACCCATGGGGCGGCGCACAAGTGGCCCAGCGTCGTCCAGGGTAGGGGAGGGAATGGCCGGCAGGGATGTAGCTCAGTTGGTAGAGCATGGCGTTTGCAACGCCAGGGTTGTGGGTTCGATTCCCATGGGGGCCAGTATGAAAAATAAAAAAAGAATGTATGCACTCACTAACTGTAAGTCGCTCTGGATAAGAGCGTCTGCTAAATAACTTAAATGTATTTGGAAATAAGTATTTAAAAATACTTTCAAAAAGTAGGCTATTTATAGGAAACTATTTGAAAATACTTTCAAATACTTCAAGTTTCAAGTTGTATTTGTTACATTTGGCATAAGTTCAGTGAAATGCTTAACTTGCAAGCCTATCCAACAGTGCAGTATTCAATATCAAAATAGTATAACTAATAAAATATACGAGAAATAAGAAGTAATAGAAGTAGTTGATTCGGGCCACATTTTTGTTAATTAATATCTGTCCAGCAAATTCATGCTTGTTCCTATGTACAGTCTAGTAGACATGTGATTCCTGTTTAAGCCTGTATCTGTCCCACCCCCTCTGTCTGCAGACTATTCCTTCCTGGTGCACAAGTACAGCTTTCCACTCATCTTCGTGATTGGCATGGTCATGTGGACCTTCATCGAATATTGCATCCATCGCTTTGTCTTCCACATGCGCCCGCCCGTCCACAACTATTACCTCATCACCATTCACTTCCTGTTGCACGGACAGCATCATAAGGTGAGATACGGAAAGAGAGTGAACAATACTCTGGAATTAACGTTTAAAATGTCTCATGTATTTTTTTTAACTGATAAGTACTTACGTGTTTTTTATGCCTCTTTTGTTTATGATTCATTTGAAATTCTGAAACTTGGGAAACTGCAGAAGGATATACTTTTTGTTTCTAATCTAGGCCAAGCCATATGCTTGAATGATAAAATGAAAGTGTGCAGTAACTACTCAGTCTATGTGCTCCTATACTAACACCATGGTGATTTCTCCCCTCAAGTCTCCCTACGATGGCACCCGCCTGGTCTTTCCTCCTTGCCTGGCCTCAGTGGTGATAGGCAGCTTCTACCTGCTGCTGACCAAGGCCTTTCCCGAGGCCCTAGGGGTGTCCCTGTTTGTGGGGGGGCTGTTTGGGTACGTGGTGTACGACATGATCCACTACTACCTTCACTACGGCTCCCCCCAGAAAAACTCCTACCTGTACAGCCTCAAGGCATATCACGTCAAGCACCACTTTGAACACCAAAGAGCAGGTGAGGAGAATAGCTCTTTGTATCACCATATTTCTGTTGTCATAGTGTCTTCTGATAAAGAGGATGGGGGAACAAACAAGATCAAGTATTATATTCAGTGCTTGACTTGGACTGAAATACAGTGGCTTGCGAAAGTATTCACCCCCTTTGGCATTTTTCCTATTTTGCTGCCTTACAACCTGGAATTAAAATGGATTTTTGGGGGGTTTGTATCATTTGATTTACACAACATGCCTACCACTTTGAAGATGCAAAATATTTTTTATTGTGAAACAAACAAGAAATAAGACAAAAAAACAGCAATTACAGCTGCAAGTCTCTTGGGGTATGTCTCTATAAGCTTGGCACATCTAGCCACTGGGATTTTTTCTCATTCTTCAAGGCAAAACTGCTCCAGCTCCTTCAAGATGGATGGGTTCCGCTGGTGTACAGCAATCTTTAAGTCATACCACAGATTCTCAATTGGATTAAGGTCTGGGCTTTGACTAGGCCATTCCAAGACATTTCAATGTTTCCCCTTAAACCACTTGAGTGTTGCTTTAGCAGTATGCTTAGGGTCATTGTCCTGCTGGAAGGTGAACCTCTGTCCCAGTCTCAAATCTCTGGAAGACTGAAACAGGTTTCCCTCAAGAATGTCCCTGTATTTAGCGCCATCCATCATTCCTTCAATTCTGACCAGTTTCCCAGTCCCTGCTGATGAAAAACATCCCACAGCATGATGCTGCCACCACCATGCTTCACTGTGGGGATGGTGTTCTCGGGGTGATGAGAGGTGTTGGGTTTGCGCCAAACATAACGTTTTCCTTGATGGCCAAAAAGCTCAATTTTAGTCTCATCTGACCAGATTACCTTCTTCCATATCTTTGGGGGAGTCTCCCACAACACCAGACTTGTTTGCATATTTTTTTCTTTAAGCAATGGCATTTTTCTGGCCACTCTTCCATTAGGCCCAGCTCCGTGGAGTGTAAGGCTTAAAGTGGTCCTATGGACAGATACTCCAATCTCCGCTGTGGAGCTTTGCAGCTCCTTCAGGGTTATCTTTGGTCTCTTTGTTGCCTCTCTGATTAATGCCCTCCTTGCCTGGTCTGTGAGTTTTGGTGGGCGGCCCTCTCTTGGCAGGTTTGTTGTGGTGCAATATTCTTTCCATTTTTTAATAATGCTCCGTGGGATGTTCAAAGTTTTGGATATTTTTCTAAAACCCAACCCTGATCTGTACTTCTCCACAACTTTGTCCCTGACCTGTTTGGAGAGCTCCTTGGTCTTCACGGTGCTGCTTGCTAGGTGGTGCCCCTTGCTTAGTGGTGTTGCAGACTCTGGGGCCTTTCAGAACAGGTGTATATATACTGAGATCATGTGACAGATCATGTGACACTTAGATTGCACACAGGTGGACTTTATTTAACTAATTATGTGACTTCTGAAGGTAATTGGTTGCACCAAATCTTTTTAGGGGCTTCATAGCAAAGGGGGTGAATACATATGCACGCACCACTTTTCCATTATTTATTTTTTAGAATTTCTTGAAACAAGTAATGTTTTTCATTTCACTTCACCAATTTGAAGAGATCCAAGATGGCATATCAGTGCGGTCGTGTTTTCTGTAGTGTCCTCATGTAAATAGCCTGGTTTTTTTTCTGTATATATTTCTCAATCTCACTTTCCATCCTTTAACTAAATATACTTTCCTGCAACCGCCTCACCCAATGTGGAACGGATTCTATTATTTCTTCATACATTTTTATCCAGAACCTCTGGCTGAAACTAGCCAGCTAACTAGCTACTTGCTATTAGCCACCGTTAGCGGTCTTCACCATTGTCCGTGGCCGTGGCCTACGCTACCTACCAGCCAGCTCTAGCCTGGACAATTATCGGCCAGTCTGCACATCGCGCTATCGAGCCAGAGCATATTGGATTTTCTGCCGGAATCACTGAATCACTGGACCTTAACACCGGATCATCGCAACTAGCTAGCTGCAACCGAATGGCTGTTGTCATTGTTGGCTAATCACCACTAATCACCACTGTCCTGAAGCTAACCCAAGTTAGCCTTGAGCTAGCCTCGAGCCAGGCCCATCTCTCGGCTATCTACCTCTCTGTCAACCGGACGGGACCTCCTAGTGTTTACACGGAGCCCCGCCGATCCTTCACGACTGGTCTGCCGACGTAATCGTCTGATGTGGTTTTAACAGGCTTCCCGTTGCGACGACCACGAAGATCCATCTGCTAGCCCCGGCCCGCTAGCACACGCAATCAACAGCCGTGCCTCCAGCTCGCCTGTAGCGTAGCAGCCACTGAACTGCTCAGCTACACAGCTGATGCCTGCTGGACTGTTCCATTATACGGTACCCCATCTTGTTGATCTGTTTAGACTCAGCTCAAACTTTCGTCGCCATTACCAGCTGTTGTCTTAGCTCTCTCAAATAACACCTGTGACTGCTTTATGCCTATCTCCCATGTCAATATGCCTTGCCTATTGCTGTTTTGGTTAGTTTTAACTGTACTTTTTCAATGTAGAGCCCTCAGTCCTGCTCAACCTGTCTCAGATAGATCCTTTGTCCCACCCCCCACACACGCGGAGACCGGCTCAATCGGTGCCTCCAGTGATGCTATCTCTTTCATCTTTACCCAACGCTTAGGTTTACCTCCACTGTACTCATATCCTTCCATATCCTTGTCTGTACATAATGCCCTGAATCTATTCTACAACGCCCGGAAATCTGCCCCTTTTATTCTCTTTACCCAACGCACTAGAAGACCAGTTCTTAAAGCCTTTAGCCATATCCTTATTCTACTCCTCCTCTGTTCCTCTGGTGATGTAGAGGTTAACCCAGGCCCTGTAACCCCCAGTATCACTCCTGCTCCCCAGGCGCTATCATTTGTTGACTTCTGTAATCGCAAAAGCCTTGGTTTCTTGCATGTTAACATCAGAAGCCTCCTCCCTAAGTTTGAGTTATTCACTGCGTTAGCACACTCAGCCAACCCTGATGTTCTAACAGTGTCTGAATCCTGGTTTAGGAAGGCCAACAATGATTCTGAAATTTCCAATCCCAACTACAACATTTCATTGCCTGCGTCCGTAATGGGTCCGCTGTCAAACGACCACCCCTCATCACTGTCAAATGCTCCCTAAAATACTTCAGCGAGCAGGCCTTTCTAATTGACCTGGCCCGGGTATCCTTGATGGATATTGACCTCATTCCGTCAGTAGAGGATGCCTGGTTGTTCTTTAAAAGTGCTTTCCTCTCCATCTTAAATAAGCATGCCCCATTCAAAAAATTCAGAACTAAGAACAGATATAGCCCCTGGTTCACCCCAGACTTGACTGCCCTTGACCAGCACAAATACATCCTGTGGCGTACGGCATTAGCATCGAACAGCCCCCGCGATATGCAACTTTTCAGGGAAGTCAGGAACCAATATACCCAATCAGTTAGGAAAGCAAAGGCTAACTTTTCAAATAGAAATTTGCATCCTGTAGCACTAGCTTCAAAACGTTTTGGGACACTGTAAAGTCCATGGAGAATAAGAGCACCTCCTCCCAGCTTCCCACTGCACTGAGGCTAGGAAACACTGTCACTACCAATAAATCTACGATAATCGAACATTTCAACAAGCATTTTACTACGGCTGGCCATGCTTTCCACCTGGCTACCCCTACCCCGGCCACCAGCTCTGCACCCTCCGCTGCAACTTGCCCATGCCCCCCCCCCCCCCCCCGCTTCTCCTTCACCCAAATTCAGATAGCTGATGTTCTGAAAGAGCTGCAAAATCTGGACCCCTACAAATCAGCTGGGCTAGACAATCTGGACCCTTTCTTTCTAAAGTTAGCCGCCAAAATTGTCGCAACCCCTATCACCAGCCTGTTCAACCTCTCTTTCATATCGTCTGAGATCCCCAGAGATTGGAAAGCTGCCACGGTCATCCCCCTCTTCAAAGGGGGTGACACTCTAGATCCAAACTGTTACAGACTTATATCCATCCTGCCCTGCCTTTCGAAAGTATTTGAAAGCCAAGTTAACAAACAGATCACCGACCATTTAGAATCCCACCATACCTTCTCCGCTATGCGATCTGGTTTCTGAGCTGGTCATGGGTGTACCTCAGCCACGCTCAAGGTCCTAAACGATATAATAACCGCGATCGATAAAAGACAGTACTGTGCAGCCGTCTTCATTGACCTGGCCAAGGCTTTTGACTCTGTCAATCACCGCATTCTTATGGGCAGACTAAATAGCCTTGGTTTCTCAAATGACTGCCTCGCCTGGTTCACCAACTACTTCTCAGATAGAGTTCAATGTGTCAAATCGGAGGGCCTGTTGTCTGGACCTCTGGCAGTCTCTATGGGGGTGCCACAGGGTTCAATTCTCGGGCCGATTCTATTCTCTGTGTATATCAATGATGTCGCTCTTGCTGCTGGTGACTCTCAGATCCACCTCTACGCAGACGACACCATTTTGTATACATCTGTCCCTTCATTGGACACTGTGTTAACAAACCTCCAAACAAGCTTCAATGCCATACAACACTCCTTCCGTGGCCTCCAACTGCTCTTAAACGCCAGTAAAACTAAATGCATGCTCTTCAATCGAATGCTGCTTGCACCCGCCTGCCCGACTAGAATCACTTCTCTCGGCGACTCTGACTTAGAATATGTAGACAACTACAAATACCTAGGTGTCTGATTAGACTGTAAACTCTCCTTCCAGACTCACATTAAGCATCTCCAATACAAAGTTTAATCTAGAATCGGCTTCCTATTTCGCAACAAAGCCTCCTTCACTCATGCTGCTAAACATGCCCTCGTAAAACTGATTATCCTACCGATCCTTGACTTCGGCGATGTCATTTACAAAATAGCTTCCAACACTCTACTCAGCAAATTGGATGTAGTCTATCACAGTGCCATCCGTTTTGTCACCAAAGCCCCATATACTACCCACCATTGTGACCTGTACGCTCTCGTTGGCTGGCCCTCACTACATATTCGTCGCCAAACCCACTGGCTCCAGGTCATCTATAAATCCCTTCTAGGCAAATCCCCGCCTTATCTTAGCTCATTGGTCACCATAGCAACACCCACCCGTAGTATGCGTTCCAGCAGGTATATCTCACTGGTCATCCCCAAAGCCAACACCTCCTTTGGTCGCCATTCCTTCCAGTTCTCTGCTGCAAATGACTGGAACGAACTGCAAAAACCTCTGAAGCTGGAGACACTTATCTCCCTCACTATCTTTAAGCATCAGTTGTCAGAGCAGCTTACCGATCACTGCACCTGTACACAGCCCATCTGTAATTAGCCCACCCAACTACCTCAGCCCCATATTGTTATTTACATTGTTATTTATTTTGCTCATTTGCTCATCTTCTGCACATCTTTCACTCCAGTGTTAATACTAAATTATAATTGTAATTATTTTGCAGTATGGCCTATTTATTGCCTTACCTCCATAACTTACTACATTTGCACACACTGTATATAGATTTTCTATTGTGTTATTGACTGTACGTTTTGTTTATTCCATATGTAACTCTGTGTTGTTGTTGTTTTTTCCGCACTGCTTTGCTTTATCTTGGCCAGGTCGCAGTTGTAAATGAGAACTTGTTCTCAACTGGCTTACCTGGTTAAATAAAGGATAAATAAAAATAAAAATAAATTTGGACTATTTTGTGTATGTCCATTACATGAAATCCAAATAAAAATAAATTTAAGTTACAGGTTTTAATGCAACAAAATAGGAAAAACGCCAAGGGGGATAAATACTATTGCAAGGCACTGTAGGTACTGTTTATGTTTAGGTGCAGGAGCTCCACAATACTTTTGAGCTAATATTCTACAACAGCAACAGGATCTCAAGCAGTAGAAAATTTGAGGTGCTGGTACTCATCTCCGGTGAGCTCCTGCCCAAGTCAAGTACTGATTATATTACCTCAGACTCTTAATGTCTCTGTAATTTCCTGTAGTTCAGCTCTGTGTATGGTTCTCATATCTATTATACCTGTATTCCTGTATGTGTGCATAAGTACTTCTGACTGTCCTCTCACTGATGACATAAATTGGTTTCCCTCTGCAGGTTTTGGAATCAGCACCACATTGTGGGACTATCCGTTCAACACAGTGATCCCTGAACAGACCTTTTAGAAGACCCAACTTACTCTACTCTCTAACGGGGGGCGACCTTCGCCCATCCCTCTTATACCTGGCAATCAACCCCTTCAATGACCCCATATACCCTTTGGCCCCAGCCTCTCCCTATAAACCACCACCAATCAGTCTGTCAGTCTGTCTGTCTGGCTCACTGCTTCGGTGCTGCTGCTCTCCTCTTCGAACAAAACACAACACACTTCTCCAATATGTTCCACCTGCCAGTCAAAGAAGAAAGGTATATTTTCAGAACTGGTGGGATGGAGGGTCGGGGTGAGGGTTTAAATGTTCTTTTATTGATTCTGTATGTTTTGTTTATAATGGACAAAATGATCAAATTAAGATTATATGACTATGATGCAGTAAGGAGGATGAACTTACATGCAGTCCCAGGTTCTAACAGTCAACATCCCACAAGAGACCGTAGAGCCAAACTCAACTCGGGACCTTGAAGTCAGTTCCACTGGCTTTTTTCATTGTTCCCCTATAATCAGGGGCTGATTTAGACCTGGGACACCAGGTGGAGGCAATTAATTATCAGGCAGAACAAATAAAACAGCAGGCTCCTGACCTCGTAGGGTAAGAGTTTAATAACCCTGCAGTAGAGAGAGACTGTAAAGTGAGCAAGAGAGTGTGAATGTGGAAGAGAGAGGATATTGAGTGATGTTTAGGATGGTGAAAGTTAAGAGATTACACTTGTCGTTATATAAGCTGTCCAGGTTTATACCTTTAAGAAAATTCAGGAAAGTCCCTTCTCTATCCCTGGAGTGTTTATGCTGCAGAATGCTCCCCCCTGTTCTAGAGGTCAAGCGTTACTAATACCTGTAGTAACGCTTAGTAACGTTGTTATGGGGACTTAACCCCATTCTCACCATTATATCACAGCTATGCTGTTTTGACACAGAAAAACGCTGTTGACAGCATGTGCTCACCTAATTCACTGATGGTTAGTCTGTAGTGTCTTGCTTAAACTGGGGCATTTCCAATTAAAATCTGTGGGAAGGTATGGAGGGAGCTGATTTAGTCTTTCACTATGTTCAGACTAATTTATATTTCTACATAATGTCTATTTGTATTCAGTAATGGTATGACTAAATGTATAGAAATATTTGTACAAATAGAGATACTGCTGCATCTTTCTATCTCTCTCCTATACACTCTGATTTGTTGTTGATATGTCAAATGAAGCTTCAGAATGAGTTGATGTTCTACGATCGATGTGTATTTATTGATAGATGGATGGATGGATACATGTTGTCATGGATACAGAGACAGAACACTGAGGGCATGAGGCCGGTCTACCACGTCTCCTGCTGTAGGGAGGAACACATGGCTACAGAATGAAGCTGATAAGGACTCCGCTATATGTTCCCGTGCTTCTCTCTGCATGTAGGATGACGATCTTGCATCAGACTAAATTACAGGAGGCCTTCGGTTCAGTTCCAGGCCGATCCTCGACTGTTCTGACTACTTTTCTATCCTAAAGTTTCTATCCTTTTTATCATCTTCTGCATTCCATGTGTTTTTGGTAATTACCTTATTCCCCCTTTCATTTGTCCTTTGGGTGTGAAGCCACTACAGATAAGCCCAAATACTCCTACAGTTTCTCAGGGGACCATGGAGAGACTGTGACAGGGGACTGGGGCCTCACAAAGTACATGGGGGTGATTTATATGCCAAGAGAATAATTCTTCATCACATAAATATGTGTAATCCAGCATTTGCTTTACTGTATAAAATGCTCCTCCTTGCAGTCATTTACAGTTGAAGTCAGAAGTTTACATACACCTTAGCCAAATACATTTAAACTCAGTTTTTCACAATTCCTGACATTTAATCCTAGTAAAAAATCCCTGTTTTAGGTCAGTTAGGATCACCACTTTATTTTAAGAATGTGAAATGTCAGAATAATAGTAGAGAGAATGATTATTTCAGCTTTTATTTATTTCATCACATTCCCAGTGGGTCAGAAGTTTACATACACTCAATTAGTATTTGGTATCATTGCCTTTAAATTGTTTAACTTGGGTCAAATGTTTCGGGTAGCCTTCCACAAGCTTCCCACAATAAGTTGGGTGAATTTTGGCCCATTCCTCCTGACAGAGCTGGTGTAACTGAGTCAGGTTTGTAGGCCTCCTTGCTCGCACACGCTTTTTCAGTTCTGCCCACACATTTTCTATAGGATTGAGGTCAGGGCTTTGTAATGGCCACTCCAATATCTTGACTTTGTTGTCCTTAAGCCATTTTGCCACAACTTTGGAAGTATGCTTGGGGTCATTGTCCATTTGGAAGACCCATTTGCGACCAAGCTTTAACTTTCTGACTGATGTCTTGAGATGTTGCCTCAATATATCCACATATACTATTGTTTGTACAGATGAACGTGGTACCTTCAGGCGTTTGGAAATTGCTCCCAAGGATGAACCAGACTTGTGGAGGTCTACAAATGTTTATCTGAGGTCTTGGCTGATTTTCTTTTCATTTTCCCATGATGTCAAGCAAAGAGGCACTGAGTTTGAAGGTAGGCCTTGAAATACATCCACAGGTACACCTCCAATTGACTGTGTATGTAAACTTCCGACTTCAACTGTACGTGGGGGGCGGGAGTGGTCTGTTTGGAACTCAGGTCAGGGTTGGGGTCAGGGCTCAGGGTTGGGTCGTGTTCACATTGTGTTCGGACAGAGAACGGTCAGCGAAGGATCAGTAAGATACCCTGATTAGCATCAACAACTCATCACAGTTGAGATTATGCATGTTCAAGCCAATATTTGTACCCATGCTTATGATGATGATGACTTTTGTATGATGAACTTTTCACGACTTGATGAAGAACAAAATATTGTTGTGATATGTTGATAATGATGATGATAATAAGGATGCTGATGATGAAAATTATGATAATGGCAGTTGAGTTTGGCATGCCCCCTCCCCTTCTCCTGTATCAACACCCACCCTAGCCTTCGAATGGACCAACCATCTAGCTGAGCAGGAGGAATTCTCTGCTCAATTATAGAATAATTTTGAAAAATCTGTTTAGCACATATTTTTATCTTTGTTTTGGAATTTTAAATGTCTATGCAAATGCAGATGTATCTGTAAATAAATGCCTTTATATTTCTGAAGATCACTAGTCGTGTTTTGTTTTGAGCCGGCCCATCTTTTTACTCAAACCTACTATTATTTATTTTTTAATAGTCATGTTGATGTACTGTACTGACATGTAGATCATTCTGTTATTCTTTGCCTTAGTAATTGCTACTAATGAAGGGTTGATCTCCTACAGCATACAGTGCTGTGAAAAAGTATTTGCCCCATTTCTGATTTCCTCTATTTTTGCATATTTTCGACACTGAAGGTTTTTAGAGCTTCAACCAAAACCTAATATTAGATAAAGGGAACCTGAGTGAACAAATAACACAACATTTTGATCATTTTCATTTATTTTATGAACAAAGTTATGCAAAACCCAAAGCCCCTGTTTGAACAAATAATTGCCCCCTTACACTCAATAACTGGTTGTGCCACCTTTAGATGCAATGACTGCAACTAAACATCTCTCACATCGCTGTGGAAGGATTTTGGCACACTCTTCCATGCAGAACTGCTTTAACTCAATGACATTTGATGGTTTTCTAGCATGAATTGTTCGTTTCAGGTCCTGCCACAACATCTCAATCGGGTTTAGGTCTGGACTTTGACTAGGCGATTCCAAGACATTACATTTGTTGCTTTTTAGCCATTCTGATGTAGACTTACTTGTGTGTTTTGGATCATTCTCTTGCATGCATGATCCAGCTGCGCTTCAGCTTCAGCTCACGGACGGATGGCCTGACATTCTCCTTCAGATTGATCTGATACAGAGCAGAATTCATGTTTCACTCAATGAAGGCAAGTCATCCCTAAACCATCACACTACCACCACCATGCTTGACCGTTGGCATAAGGTTCTTACTGTGAAATGCATTGTTTGGTTTTCACCAGACATAACAGGACCCATGTCGTTCAAGAAGTTCCACTTTTGACTAATTTGTCCATAGAACATTCTTCCAGGAGTGTTGACGATCTTCCAGGTGCTTTTTGGCAAAATGGGTCATGTTATGTCTGGCAAACCAAACACTGGATACCACAGAAAGAACCTCATACCAACAGTCAAGCATGGTGGTGGTAGTGTGGTGGTTTGAGGATGCTTTGCTGCCTCAGGATCTGGGCGACTTGCCTTCATTGAAGGAACCAATATAATAAAATAATTCCCCAATTTTGGGGGGCATACAATATAGCTCAGTATTTGAATTATTTATTTTATACAGTTATTTTTGCTCATCTTTACCAAGGGTGTCAATAATTTAAAACCCCACTGTAAATGCAGCCTGCAGTGTGTAACTTGTTCAGTACTGTGGCGGCTGTGGTCTGTGAGTCAGTGCTCTGTGGGACAGTAGGACCCAGGGCTGCAGACAGACAAAGGCAGGCAGAGATGGGAGGTGCCTGTCAGGGAGGAAAAATAAACGCAGTGAACACAGCTCCACACCCTGAAGGGAATGAGAAGTTTCACTGCATTCCTGTCCTGCAACTCAACTCTGAATCAACCATCTGCAAGGACAAATCCGTAGAGTGTAAGTGTGTGTGTGTGTTTAGGTCTGTGTTCAGGACCCCTGACCAGGCCCCACCTTGATTTCAGGACAACAGTGTGTGTATGTTCGTGTGTGTTCAAACATCACACTGGAGGGGGTGTGGGCCAGCTATCTGCATACGCCTATTGACCTATACCTCAGCGCCCTGTCAGGTACCGTACACTCCTTCATTCACTCTCCTTATTATTTCCCTCCCTCACTCCCTCCCTCCTTCTCTATCTAGCTTTCACTTTCTTCCTTGCTACATATTATATCTCTGTATACAGAGGCAGAGCCCATAGGAAGTTGCTTGTCTGCTCCGATACTGCAACCACACTGCCGTTGCTCTCTGCGGTTCCTTCTTGATGCACAACATAATTAAAGAGACAGTGCGGTGAAGCACTTGGAGCCAAGCACAAAGAAGAGTATGTACTGCCTGGCCCCTTGTTTCTGTTGATAACATCTATCTCTGGCTACTGCTCCCCTCCTATGTTGACTCAGTGTTTACAACTTCAGATCTCTGCCATCTGGTCGTTCCTCTCTGTCCTCTCTATGTTTTACTGCTACCCTGTCCTCTCCGCATCAACATGCAAATTGGACTGCTCTCTAACCTGCACACACAACCTTCTATAGCCATTTGAACTCCCCATGTAAATGTGTGGATTACAGGGTGTATAAATATATCACAGATGATGAACCAGGTAAAACACCTTGTCCTCCTCACACTGCCTCTCTACAGGGACACAATGACATCGCTGGGTGATAAAGGTGAAGGCCACTGGGAGACAACGGCATTGCTGGGTGATGAAGATGAAGGCTCCGTCCAAACCCAGACGAAGGTCCTGAACCAGGGCTCCTGGACGCAGGTCAGCTGTCCCTGCTGTGTGTCTGAGCAGGTGGAGCCCCTGGTCCTCATCCAGCTGTCAGACAACATCCAGCCTGTCACCAAGAGGTGGCTCATCTCCCTGATCGGGGTGTCCGAGAGAGACGGAGGTGAGAGGTCAGGCCAGATAGGGTCAGCAGCAGATCAGACGTCTGAATGTTCTTCAATCTTTGTTGTGTTTTTTTCCAGCTCAGTACTATTGAGTATTAACCCAATCTGATTCAGCTGATTCACTCAGGCTTCATGATTAGTTTATTAGTTGAGTCTCTTGTTACAAAGTAGTGTACGTACATCCAGTGACTGCTTTATTAACGTGGGTTAAGCCTGACGAAGACCTTTGAGTCGAAACGTTGCACAATACAACTGTGGAAGCGTTCATCAGTGTGTGGGTATCAACGTTTATTAGCTGAATCAAGTGTCAGTCATTACTGGGCTGAAACTGAAGATTGTAGGACTACACCCTCAAAGAACACCGCAGTAGAGGCAAGGATAATATGGTTGAACCTTTCTCCTCCTCCCTGGACTAGGAGCAGCGTTGCTGGCCCACCCTGGAGAGGATGAGTGTGGGGATGTGATCGTGGTGTCTGCTCCTCGGTGCACCCTCCTCAAAGCAACAGAGGACCTGGGTCTGTGTAAGAAATACCGCAATGGAGACATGGTTGCTTTCTCCTACAACGACAGAGAAAACTTCAGCAATGTTGGTAAGAATGTTGGTAATGGCAGGGGAAGAGTAGAGGGATAGTTATGGTAATAACAGTTACTAACACGACTAGACAAGTTGTAATTGAACTTGTTGTGTAGATCTTCAGCACCCAATACACCTTCTGTAGAAATACAATCAACACATTCACTGTGGTAATAAACTGTAGTAATAAAGATCAAATGAAATATGAAATGTAATATATATGACAGACTTCATTGACGCCTGTCCTCTGTGTTATCAGATGACATGCAGGAGTTCCTGACGCTAGCGGAGCGTCAGTACATAGTCAAGTATGAGCTGGACTTTCTAAGGGCCCAGAAGGAGCAGAAAATCCCTGGAGTCCCTGAGTCTCAGGGGGTCCTGAAGGCCAGGGAGAACATATGTGAGTCTCTACTCTGTGTGTGTGTGTGTGTGTGTGTGTGTGTGTGTGTGTGTGTGTGTGTGTGTGTGTGTGTGTGTATTAGATATTCGGTTTACCTCAGCATTTTCTGTTCTCTTTGTCATGATCTTGCTTAGCTAAGCTGTTCTGCAGCAGAGCACCACCTCTGGTTGATCATTTCTGTGCTCTCTCCTGTCCTCTCTTACTGCTCTGTGATCTGTATTTGTCTGAGGACTACAGCACACTGTCCCTTACATATGCTGGATAGTGTTAACAGTGTAATGCATTACTGCCGAGCTTCTGGCTATGTTACCTCCTCTTCCCCATCTGTATGTGTAGTAATGGTAGTTGTATTGTACAGCTCGCTGTCCTGTCCTAGCTCATCCCTTCTGTCTCTGTGCTGTAGGTCAGAAGCTAGAGAAGGCAGGAGTGATAAAGGATATCTTCCCTCTGCATGACAAACAGAGACTGACAGACTTGGGCAGGAAGTGGTACTCTGGGAAGCAGATATGGGGACAGCCTCTCGGTAAACAACAACAACATAAATATAAACATAGACACACGCACACAAACTTGTATTCCTTTATCCTACTAATGGTCTCTCTCTCCCTTATGCAGACTCTATCCAGGCCTACTTCGGAGGCACCATTGGGTTTTACTTCAGCTTTCTGGACTTCTACACCTGGGCCCTGGTGCCCCCTGCTATCCTAGGCCTGGTCCTGACCTTTCTGCTGCCTGGAGGTGGATCAGGAGGTGGGGTTGTGAAGGAGCAGGCTGGGGAGGGGGTGATGGAGGGGATGGTGGAGGTGGACGACAGCCCCTCGGTCAGCGGTCACATGGTACAGGCCATGTTCAGCATGCTGTGGTCCACGCTGGTCATGGAGTTCTGGAAGCGCCGCAGCTCCTCCATCTCCCACCGCTGGGGCTTGCTGCACCTGACCGAGCGCTTCGCCGAGCCACGACCTGGCTTCCACGGCACCCTGGGGATCAACCCTGTGACCGGGCGGCTGGAGCCCCTGTTCCCGGAGTGGCAGAGGCAGCTACGTGTAGGCCTGGTGTCTGTGCCCCTGGTGGGGTTGTTCCTGGGGCTGGTGGTGCTGGGTATGACAGGGTTCTACCACGGAGAGGCCCTGGCACAGGGCTTCCATCAGGACAGCGGCTCCCTGTTCTCTGGAGCTCTGCTCTACCTTCCCTCTGTGGCTCACATCGTCTACACCAACATGCTGGGGAATGTGTACCGCACTGTGGCCATGCAACTCACAGAGTGGGGTGAGAAAGTGCACTGGGCGATGGGGAGGGAGATGGGTTAGATAGGGAGGAGGTGAAAGAGAAGTAGATAGAGAAGAGGGAGAGAGACAATACGTTTGATGTTGATGAATTATTGTGGTAGGGGGTAAAATGTTTGGGAAAACAGAGCTAAGTTCACCAAAGGGCATAGAATAATAGAATAATAGAGAATGCAAATGGATACAAGGTGTCACAGATTGTCTGTCTGTGACACCTGAAAATCTGTTTATTTTCTTCTTGTAGAAAACCACAGAGAGGAGTCCTCCTTCCAGAACCATCATACCACCAAAGTCCTCCTGGTCAGTCCCACTCGTCCTTCCCCATCTGTCAGTCTATTCCTCCACATCCTCCTCCTCCTCCTCCTCTCCCTCTGGTCCTCCCTCTCTCTCTGTTCCTACTGAATATCTAAATCTGTTGCAATAGTCCCTGGTGCAGAGCTAAATGTGTTCTGATACAGGAAGGTGTATTACAGATCGGCTAAATGTATTCTGATACAGGTAGGTGTAGTGTGCAGATAGTATCATCTGTGTATGTATAAGCAGATGTGGGAGCCATTCCTCAGTGAGAGGCAAATCAGATACAGTAAAACAGGATATGTATTCAGTGTTTACCCTATATGCATTTAGCAGCGGCGGTGCGTAATTTTACCATCCTGAATAATTTTCGGTAAAACATTTTCAGTGTAAACTTAAATGACTAGAACTAGATATAAAGTATGTAGAAAATATAATGGAGCAATATATTTTTTATTAAGATCACCTCTGAGAACTAACATCGCCAAAATAAAAAAGTTGTCATGGCATGATTGATTTTGTTATAATGTTTGAGTCACTCAGATAGCATAAAAACACTGCATAAGCCATGGCCAAATGTGTACAATTGCAGAAAACTAGCTTTAAAACTGCACATTTTCTCTCAACCCCATGGCAAAATGTGTAGAATTGTAGGAAACTAGCTTTACAACTGTAAAATGTTATTTCCGCCCCATGACAAAATGTGTAGAATTGCAGGAAATTAGCTTTGAAACTGCAATTCTTCACTCAGCCCCATGACAAAATGTATAGAATTGCAGGAAACTAGCTTTAGAACTGTGAAATGTTCTCTCAGCCCCATGGCAAAATGTGTAGAATTGCAGAAAATTAGCTTTAAAACTGTTAAATATTCTCTCAGCCCCATCGCAAAATGTGAGAATTGCTGGAAATTAGCTTTAAAACAGCAAAATGTTGTCTCTGCGGCCTCTAAACCCCCCCGTGCCTCCAGAGATATTACTTCAAGCCAAATTCTATCTCCTTCTCTCTTTTTTTAGTTTACTTTCTTCAACTACTTTGCTGTGCTATTCCACATTGCCTTCTACAAACAAGACCTACCACTGCTAAGGAAGGTAAGAGATGTCAGCTGGGCAGCACTGTTTGTCTATGACTGGCCAGCGGAAATTCTATACAATGTAACAGTAGAAATAGCTCATGTTAAACGGTAGATCCAAAATAAATGTTTTCTTGAGCTGTGCAACAGAACAGATCATGTTCTCTCTGTGTGCAGTATGTACTGAACCTAAAGTAATTGATCACAGTGTGTGTGCGTTTGTATACAGCAGGTAACTATTTGTGTGTGTTTATCATCTGTCTGTGTACACAGAGGCTTGCGTCTCTGCTAATCGTGACCCAACTGGTGAACCAGTGTACAGAGGTGGTGGTGCCGTTTATAGTGGACCGCTTCTTCAGTGCTCCTCAGAAGAAGCAGCAGGAGGATGACCCAGATGTGGACAAACTCAGAGCCCAGAGAAGCCTGCCCCCTTTTCCAGTAAGTCCATGTAAAATGTGTTTGTGTGTTTGAATGTTTTCCTCTGTTTCTATTCATTGTGCTCTTGTCTGACTTTCTTTGTATCTGTGCCGTAAGGGGTTGAATTAAGGTTGGGTGTATTTGCATTTGTACTGTATGTGACTGAATGTTATGTTTTGGTGTGTAACTTATCGCATTTATCGCTATGTTTCAGGGCCTGTTTGCTGAGTACATTGAGTTGCTGGTGCAGTTTGGGTATTTGAGTCTGTTCTCCTGTGTGTACCCGCTCACCGCCGTCCTCCTGCTCCTCAATAACGTCACAGAGATCAGAGCAGATGCATACAAGATCTGTAAACTGTTCCGGAAGCCCTTCTCAGCCCCTGTGTCCAACATGGGAGTGTGGCAGGTCAGGAGGTTTTTAAGAGAGGGAATGGAATGTGAACAAACAGAGAGCGCATTTTACTGCAGATGGAAATTAGCTATGTAGCTAAATCTGGTGAATAAATAGATAATTTATTGTAATTTTCAAATCAGTGCCTATCCATGTCACTGTACACATGCGTCTGTCTTTGCTCCTGTCCTTGTATGTGCCTGTAACCATATTTCTGTATGCCTGTGTATATTTCAGACAGCGTTTGAGGTTCTGGGGTTCGTGTCAGTCATGTCTAACTGCTGGCTGCTGCTGCTGTCTCCTCGGGTCCGGGAGTTCTGTCTGGAGGGAGGGATTAGCGGCAGGAACATCATACTCTTCGCCATCCTGGTCGAGGTACAGTATGATTACAGTACAGTTCAGTATCTTGCGCATAACAGTTGTCTTATTCATAACATATTACTGTATCATTATCTGCCCAACTGACATATGTTGTATGTACACTGAGTATACCAAACATTAGGAACACCTTCCTAATATTGAGTTGTTTTTGCTCTCAGAACAACCTCAATTATTTGGGGCATGGACTCAAGGTGTTGAAAGTGTTCCACAGGGATGCTGGCCTATGTTGACTCCAATGCTTCCCACAGTTGTGTCAAGTTGGCTGGATGTCCTTTGGGTGGTGGACCATTCTTGATACACACCGGAAACTGTTGAGTGTGAAAAACCCAGCAGTGTTGCAGTTCTTGACACAAACCGGTGCGCCTGGCACTTACCCAGTTCAAAGACACTTACATTTTTTGTCTTGCCCATTCACCCTCTGAATGGCACACATAAACAATATATGTCTCAATTGTCTGAAGGCTTAAAAATCTTTCTTTAATCTGTTTCCTCCCCTTCATCTACACTGATGAAGTGGATTTAACAAGTGACATCAATAAGGGACCATAGCTTTCACCTGGATTGACCTGGTCAGTCTATGTCATGGAAAGAGCAGGTGTTCTTAATGTTTTGTATCCTAATACTTAGTGTATATGTGTGTGTGTTTGTTTGTCAGCATGTCCTGATCCTGGTCAAGATGATTCTCGCTTTTATGATCCCAGACGAGCCAGACTGGGTCAGAATCAAGAGGGAACAGATTGAGTTTCACTCCATGCAAGCTCTTGGGCAGCAGGTGAGAGAATAATCATTATAGAAAAGCCCTGACCTTACTGTGACAATCAAGTGTCTGACAATCAAACATCTCCCTTTGACTTTATAGAAGCTATAAAGGTTGTGGAACCCCTGAGGGGAAGTCCATAATCTGTCTTCTGTTGCCCTTCAAATGTTGGTCTGGACCTGGGGGCTCATTAGAATCAGCTGCCATGGCGATGACGGAGAGGAGGATCCAAAGAGATGTCTGTCTGGCCTCTAACATAAACCCTGGTGCCAGCCAGACTCTGCCCTGAGAAGCTCTATCAGTCTCAGTATCTCCCCCTGGAGGACTGGTCTAGTCATAACTAGAGAAGTTTCTCATGTCATGGGAGATACTAGAGCAGGGGTGTCAAACTAATTTTGCCCCGGGGGCCGCATTCGGTCTTCAACAAGGTATAATGAGTTTGTCTCCCCTCTAAAATATATATATATATATATACAGTATATACTGAGTATACAAAACATTAAGACAGAGACTGACCAGGTGAATCCAGGTGAAAGTTATGGTCCCTTATTGATGTCACTTGTTAAATCCACTTCAATCAGTGTAGATGAAGGGGAGGAGACAGGAAGGATTTTTAAGCCTTGAGACAATTGAGACATGGATTGTGTATTTGTGCCATTCAGGGGATGAATGGGCAAGACAAAATATTTAAGTGCCTTTGAACGGGGTATGGTAGTAGGTGCCAGGCGCACCGGTTTGTGTCAAGAACTCCAACGCTGCTGGGTTTTTCACGCTCAACAGCTTCCCTTGTCTATCAAGAATGGTCTACCACCCAAAGGACATCCAGCCAACTTAACACAACTGTGGGAAGCATTGGAGTCAACATAGGCCAGCATCCCTGTGGAATGCTTTCGACACACTGAGTATACCAAACGTTAGGAACACCTTTCTAATATTGAGTTGCTTTGCCCTCAGAAAAGCCTCAATTCATTGGGGGCATGAACTGCAAGGTGTCGAAAGTGTTCCACCACGTGACAATGATTTTGAAAAACGAAAAACGTTATTATTGAAATGAAACTGTTCCATGAACATGTGCATAATAAAAATAATCATAACTGGCAAGCAGATCGGTAGAAATGGTAGGATAAATTGTAAGCTTCCCCAAACTTAAAACTCACGAACTGCCTATGGTCTTTAATATTACACCCATAAAAAAACGTGCCTGCCTATGGAAATCAAAGGCCAGTCAAACTGATTTGTTTTGGTGCCCGCCCTGCTGGTCAGTCTATGTCATGGAAAGAGCATGTGTTCCTAATGTTTTGTACACTCAGTGTATATATACTGTATATATACAGTGCATTCGGAAAGTATTCAGACCCATTGACTTTTTCCACATTTTGTTAAGTTACAGCCTTATTCTAAAATGTATTAAATCTTTTTTTCCCTCATCAATCTACACACAATACCTCATAATGACAAAGTGAAAACATGTTTTTATAAATTTTTGCACATTTAATTAAAATAAAAAACAGAAATACTTTATTTACTTAAGTATTCAGACCCTTTGCTATGAGACTCGAAATTGAGATCAGGTGCTTCCTGTTTCCATGAGATGTTTCTACAACTTCATTGGAGTCCACCTGTGGTAAATGTAATTGATTGGACATGATTTGGAAAGGCACACACCTGTCTATATACGGTCCCACAGTTGACAGTGCATGTCAGAGGAAAACCGAAGGAATGGTCTGTAGAGCTCTGAGACAGGATTGTGTCGGGCACAGATCTGGGCAAGGGTACCAAAAAATGTCTGCAGCAGCGAAGGTCCCCAAGAACACAGTGGCCTCCATCATCCTTAAATGGAAGAAGTTTGGAACCACCAACACTCTTCCTAAAGCTGGCCTCCCGGCCAAACTGAGCAATCGGGGTAGAAGGGCCTTGGTCAGGGAGGTGACCAAGAACCCGATGGTCACTCTGATAGAGCTCCAGAGTTCCTCTGTGGAGATGGAAGAACCTTCCAGAAGGACAACCATCTCTGCAGCACTCCACCAATCAGGCCTTTATGGTAGAGTGGCCAGACGGAAGCCACTCCTCAGTAAAAGGCACATGACAGCCTGCTTGGAGTTTGCCAAAAGGCACCTAAAGGACTCTCAGACCATGAGAAACAAGATTCTCTGGTCGGATGAAACCAAGATTGAACTCGTTGACCTGAATGCCAAGCATCACATCTGGAGGAAACCTGGCACCATCCTTATGGTGAAGCATGGTGGTGGCAGCATCATGCTGTGGGGATGTTTTTCAGCGACAGGGACTGGGAGTCTAGTCAGGATTGAGGGAAAGGTGAACGGAGCAAAGTACAGAGATCCTTGATGAAAGGACCTCAGACTGGGGTGAAGGTTCACCTTCCAACAGGACAACGACCCTAAGCACACAGCCAAGACAACACAGGAGTGGCTTCAGGACAAGTCTCTGAATGTCCTTGAGTGGCCCAGCCAGAGCCTGGACTTGAACCCGATCGAACATCTCTGGAGAGACCTGAAAATAGCTGTGCAGCGACGCTCCCCATCCAACCTGACAGAGCTTGAGATGATCTGCAGAGAAGAATGGGAGAAACTCCCCAAATACAGGTGTGCCACGCTTGTAGCGTGCTTCAACAAAGTACTAAGTAAAGGGTCTGAATACTTATGTAAATGTCATATTTCCGTTTTTTTAAACGTATAAATTGTAAAAAATTCTAAAAACCTGTTTTTGCTTTGTTATTATGGCGTACTGTGTGTAGATTGATGAGGGTAAAAAAACAATTGTATCCATTTTAGAATAAGGCTGTAACGTAACAAAATGTGTAAAAAGTCAAGGGGTCTGTGTTAATGCAGCATTGCAGCTTCAGCATAAGTGTGTTTGAGACTTCTTTAAATACTGGGTAGCTTTGGACTTTATTGTGTATGTGGCACATACTATACAAGTATTTAATTTGCTGTATAATCACACAAGTGCAAATATGCATATAATTTTGTAAATTTTTCCCCACAGTGTGTTCCATGTACACTCTTAGAAAAAAAAAGGTGCTATGTAGAACCTAAAAGGGTTCTTTGGTTTTCCCCATAGGAGAACCCTTTTTGGTTCCATGTAGAATCCTTTTGGGTTCTCCCTGGAACCAAAAAGGGTTCTTCTATGGGGACAGCTGAAGAACCCTTTTGGAACCCTTTTTTCTAAGCGTGTACTTTCACATTATGAGTGTTATGTTGTACGCTTCAGGCACATTGCAACACCACTGAGAGCACGTGATATCACCAAATATCTGTGTACTTTTATTTGAAGATGACTATATTTAAACATATGGATTGATGATGAGCTTGATGTTGGAATATGTTATGTATTACACGTGCTACATCTGTATCTTTTAAAAAGGAAGATTTCAGAATAGAGTGTTGGATGAATGCAAACAGCTAGGTTGATGGTTGTGTTTGACTAAATAAACTAAACATACCTAATCATGCAAAAAGGTCCTGAAATTCCTTTGATGTATTTTTATCATTTGACAAACTCAAAAATAAATCCATGACCGCTTCAGAGGAATAACAATTGGTTGATTGTCTCTACAGCACATACCCTTTAAATCACCACCACAACACCGTCACTCTGGTTTAATCAATTTTAATAAATAAATACAAAAATAAATGAATCTCATCGAGACATAGTCATAGTTTAAATCCGGGTCAATAGGCTGACAGACAGACAGACGGACACACCCAGGTCAGCTGACTCCAGGCCAGGTGTGGAGGAGGAGGAGACAGCCGGTTGGTGGAATCCGAGGCCCACCCCCGTCCAATGAAAGAAGAGGAAAGAAGACAGGGGAGGTGGAGTTGGAGTGTCCATATCATATATGTGCCAGCTGAGGTTAGTGCTCTGTGTCCATCACTACACTCTTCTCTTCCACAATGAGGGGACTGAGAGTACGCCATTAATTCTGCTCTCATACAGTAGTAGCATGGGACTTCCATGTCCCACTGTTCCATGGTTCCTCTGGGCATTCCACTGATGGGAAAGTACACAGCTTTCTGAGGACACTTGTACTGTAACACTCTTCAATAACATTTGTTCTTTGCATAATTGCTAGTTCCCATCTAGACTAGAGTAGGATTTCTGATTTGATCAAGCGGTATCTCTTAGTAACATGTATAGGTATACAGTACGTTCTCTCAGAAAACACTAGACAGACAAAATGTATACACAAATCACAAGGCAAGTCCAACAACATTTTACAGGTATCATCACCCATACGGAGAAAAAAAATACATTTCAATATATTTAACGTCACGTAAAATGTATTTCAAATACATGTAGATACATTTGCATCTTCGCTAAAATGCATTTACTGCCATAAAATGCATTTCAGAGATCCATGTTCCACATTTACATCTTTGCTCAAATACAATATTCCAGAAATGCATGGCTATGACATCTAGTCTAAAGGGTGTCAAAGTGGTTCCTAATTGGGCTTCTTAAATTGCTCTTTAAGTGTTGATCAATGGAGAAAAAATGTTGGGCCACCAAGCCAAAACTTTGGCAGTGATATAATTTCAATTGTGATGGTGAGTAAAAACAAAAACATTTGATTTCACCTAATTTTTACATTCTGTCGTAAAGAGCACATGTTCAACTTCATAAAAAATATGTTTTCCCCATAAAAAACAAACAGAGTACATTAGTACATTAGTAAGTGGCTCTCTTCAGCTTCATTCAATCGGGCACTCGGCTGTTTTTATTATTACATTTTCTATCGATTTAAACAAACATGATACATCGTACAACGCTCCACAAAATGTCAAAGTGTAGGTCTAGGTCTTGTGCTTCCAATGAGTGGTATTGTAGCAGCTCTACAGAGGATGGTTAGTGGTGTTAATGGTGTGTTCGTAACCAATTGGCCCTCCAACTGGTAATTACTAGTTAAATCAGCCAAAAATCCCCTTGTGACAGGGGGAATGGAAGCTTTATAGCAAGTCTTTATTCATATTGAAAATCAGATTTATTGAATTATCCATATGGTCTATATTAAAGGGCACTTCATTTCATATAACAGGGTTTTAAAATTCAATAGTGGTGCATAATTTCTACTTAACATATAAAAGGGACGCAAAAAGGCACTAATTTCGTGGAACGACCCAGTACATGTTAAGTTCTGCCCGTTGGACGTTGGTTGCAATGCTCTCATCAAGTTTCTTTGTTTATTTGTCATATGCACAGTCACTGACCAATAATGTATAATGTTTGTAGTTATTGTTGTAGTCATTTAAATGCATTTATATGCATGTTAGTGCTTTTGGTATGTGTCAAGTACAATAAATGCATTTTGACAAAATAGATTGTGTAATGGTGGCAGCCTATTAGAAGACTTGGAGGTGTGGCTTGTTGGGGCGTGGCTTTGTCTTTGTGCTTTTTGGCCTCTCGTGACAGATTGTCATGCAACTTAATGTGTTATGTTGTGTTCTGTGCTTAAAGGTTAAGTTTGTACACTGCTAGTTCTGCAGTCTTAATGAGACATAAGTGCATGTGATACCAAAGAGCCTACTAAAGCTTCATTGTTAAGACAGTCACCATTTTGTTACAATATGATTTGGCAATTGTTTTTATGTTTGTCATACATTTTAATTAAAAAATATATTTCTTACAAATACATTTAAATGCATGTTGGAATATATTTTACAAAACATTTCCAAATATAATGTATTTCAGAACGCATTTTGAAATACATTAAATACATTTTCTGATGACTTTAACATATATTGTGATATACATTTTACACACATTTATATACACCTTTTAAATACATTCTGTAAATTATGTTGGAATGTATTTAAAGTGTATTCAATAAATAAAAATAAAATACATTATTTGGCCAATTTTAAATATTTCACATGTATCCTAAAAAATGTATCAAAAATATATTTTAAATGTATTTTTTTTCGTATGGGCACTCATGAGACTCATAATCACTCCTGATTAATTCTGTCACACTTAGAACACAAAACAATAGTTATAATCACACACCTCTCTTCTACGACAAAAAAACAGTTGTCCGATATGATAAAAGAGTTCAATAGCATTTCTAAGAATAAGAATGAAAGATTTTCAAATAAAGTACATATACACAAACAATCTGGAAGACCTGCATTTCCGTAGTTGATATCATATCATATCATTTTTTAAAGTCTCCCTTATGAAACTCTCCCTGGATGTTGCTCTTACAGTCAGTGTAGATCCCAAGCCTTGCTACTGTAACATGCGGGATATGAACCGTGGTCTCCCACGGGTCCGAGGGCAGACCCTGGTTTTGAAGTTTGCAGGCGGGGCTACCTCATCACGTGACCATGAGCAACCATGCCCGACAAGTCTGCTACATTCACCCCCCTTTGACCTACTCCCCCACGAGAGATCCCCCCATGTTGGGCGCCAATGTAACATGCAGGATATCTACCCGGGTCGCCCACGGGATGCAACCAACGTCTTAGACAGTTAGACCAAGAGGAAATTCCCCCTTGGTCCGAGGGCAGACACTGGTTTTTAAGTTCGCAAGCGGGGCTACTTCATCACGTGACCAAGAGCAACTATGCCCGACTCATGTCCGCTACACTACTGTACACCACTGAGATTCAACAATGCACCCACATTAGTGCACCAACAATGTCACTGACGTATGTTAACCCCCAGCATTAAATGATACCATGCTTCCAGCTATACTGTCATGAGCATCATCACATCTTCCATCAGGCCGCTAGCTGAGCTAACGTAGGATGGCGCCTGAGGCATGGAGTGTAGCTTTCACCTATACAGCATGCATCATCTTACACATTCCAATTATAGCACTATACTAGCAGGCCTCAGTGACAACATACCATATGCAAAAATGGGCTCAGTTCTAGATAAGCTAGTGCAAAATGAAAAGCTACGATACAAGGGAAAATAAAATAGCAATCAATACAAAGCTACTGTATATAGTGATAGTCTAAGAAGACTACACAAAAAGCATTTTCTATAGTCCAGTACATAGCAGCACAATGAGGTTCAGTTTTTTTCTCACAAAGGAAGCAGCAGTAGATGCTAAGTATAAAGAGGTCAGGGTGGGGGCTACACAGGTCTAACTAGAATTGGCTGGAATGTGTCTGAGGTCACAGTATGATAATTCAGTTCAGGTCGGATGCAGACTGATAGTTCAAATAGGCTACATACTGTCTGCACCAGTGTTTTGTGTTGAAGTTGAAGTAGATGGAACAGTGACAGGCTCTGGGCCTGGTGTGAGGGTGTCTGGAGTGAGGACCATTCCTACCCCTTGGCCAGGGGATAGAGTGAGTAATGTGGGAGGTATATGGTATCTACAGGTGGCCCTGCCTACAGCACGTGGCAGCAGTTGTACTGGGCGAAGGGCAGGAGTTTCTCCTTGGAGGTGGGCTGGATGTTGAAGGACAGGGCCTTCTCACAGAGAGGGAACTGCAGCAGGCGGTCTCTCAGGTTCACGTTCTTCCCCTTCCCAGGATCCAGTCTTACCGTAGGGTCGGTCCCCGCCTCCCTGGGCCCAAGGCGACCCTGTGGTGCATTGTGGGATCTCTCTAACTGAAGCTCCTCTGGAGTGTCCCCTTCAGACTCCTCACCAGGCCCTCCCACCTTGCGGGTCGTCTCCACCCCATCAGGGCCCAGGTCCACACAGTGGTTACGGGGCAGAGAGCGGGGTGAGGCGCCTGGGGTGGACCCCCCACCCTTCACCAGGAGCTTAGGCTTGGACTCTGTGGTGTTGTTGTTGTTTTCAAGAATAGCATCTTCTTCCCCTTCCATGATGTCTGGGCTGGGAGTTTCCTGTTGCCCCCGACAACACTGCACCCCCCCGAGGCGAGGCAGGTATGGAGGGTGAGCTTTAGGGCTGATCGAACTATCTACCACAGCCTGAACCTGGTTTTCTAAACCATTGATTGGCTGGTCTGAAGTCAAATGACTACCTAGTCTCAGTGGGTTCACATGATATGTCTCCTTCCTCCATGGGCTTCTCCTCTGACTCCATCGTACCCTGTTCCTGTTCCTGTCTGGATGCCACCTGGTCAAGCTCCATCTCTCTGCTGTGGCTAGAAACCCTGTCCTTCAGCTCCCTGTCCCACTCCCCCCTCTCTGTCTCCAGTGCTTCCTCCACTGAGGTGCCCAACAGGCCTGTTTCCTCTCCCTGACCTGGCACTACTCTTACTGGGCTGTGTGGAGCCTCTGGTGCTGTGAGCATGGGACTAGACTGTTCTGTAGACACAGTGGTTGATACCAAGCCTATTATATGAGGCAGTGTTTGAATATTATGAAGTTCAACATGTGGTTTGCCTGCCTCTTCCACCTCATCTTCCTCCTCCTCCTCCTCCTCCTCCTCCTCTTCACAGATGAGCTGCAGGGCTCCCAGGCTCTTGACCTGTCGGGGTTCGTCAGGGGGTGGGGGGCGCAGGGTGAGCCCCAGGCAGGGCCCTGTGCTGTACTCAGGCTGAAGCAGCAGGGGCCTGTGGGTCAGGAAGTTCCCAGACTCAGACACCCCTCGGCGGGGACAGCCGTCCAGCAGGCCATGGAGCCCCCTCTGTTCCAGATCCAGAGGCTCAGACCGCGGCCTCCTGTAGAAGAGAAAGAGATATTAGAAATTAGTAGAGTTCATGATCAGCTAGTGGCATTTTTCTATGACTGACTGACTGTACTGTGTGCCTTTGTGAATCACTGTGACTGACTCTACTATATGAATGCTGAGTCTTACTGGAGTTGTGGTGGCTCGTCCCATGCACTGTCGACTTTCGGGATCTCGCTGGGCTGCTCCTGCTTGTCTCTCAGGATACGCTCCCCCAGCAGGTAATATGTGGCTGTAATGTGGTTGTATTGATCCGCTTCTAGAGCCCTGGGTGTATTACAATGACACACTAATTCGTTTTAATTTAGAATATAATATTTAAAAGCAACCACATTTCAGAACTGCATCCACAAATGCATATCACCAAGTTATCTTGCTTAAAAGCTTACTGATCTGAGGTAGAGTACAAAGGAAGAGGATAGAGATTGAGAGAAAGAGAATATGGAGAGAAGAGGGAGATGTAGAGAAGTCCTCACTGTTGGATGGCATCGCGGTCAGCGATGTTGCCGCTGGTCATGGCTTGGAGGATGATCTCGTGTTCTTCCTGGGACAGGCTGCGGTGGGAGGTGAGGGGGGCAGCACTGTGCCCTGTGGGGGAGGGGTTGACCCCCTGCAGCCAGGTGTGGTTCTCGATCTCCTCCAGGGAGGCGCGGCTAGACGGGTCCCTCTGCAGCATACGGGAGATCAGACTGGGAGAGAGAGAGAGAGAGAGGCATTGAGAGAGCGAGAGAGACATTGAGAGAGACGGTTGTGAATTCGCCTTCCATAGACCAGATACTATATATACCTCTGTGGCCTCTTTTTGTAACAGTGGTACACGAGTGAAGTTCTCATGCATACTGATTCAGTTATTGACAGGCAAAGCACATAACCCCATATATCTGTGATACAAGAGTGAATGAGTTCAAACTATCAATCTATTTCATAATCAATATTCATGAGCGCCTGCAGACATCAGACAGTCTTTAGGTGCATCCATGCAGGGCCAGGCAGGTAATTTGCTGAGAGGCATGGCATAGTCTGACTCTGTGCATCATCATGCAGGCTCTGACGCAGGATGGGGACTTTGTATTCCTCCGTCTCACTGGTAGGTGAGTGTGTGCGTGCGTGTGTGTGTCGTCTTGTTATTTTATCCTTGTGAGGACCTAAAATCCCCAAAAGTCCCCACAAGGATAGTAAAACCTGAAAAATTCTGTTTCTCATCGTCCCCACAAGCACAAAGGCTATTTTGAGTTTAGGGGTTAGGTTTAGGGTTACAATTAGGGTTAGGGTTAGGGTAAGGGGTTATGTTTAGGGTTAGGAGTTAGGTTTAGGGTTAAGGTTGGGGTAAGGGATAGGTTTAGGGGTTAGGGAAAATAGGATTTTTAATGGAAATCAATTTTAGGTCCCCACGAGGATATGATGTGTGTGCATACGCCTTTAAGTGGTTTAACCATGTAAGACCAGGATCACCAATCAGCCTAAAGGCTCTATCCTCCTTTAATAATGCCACTATCAGATATGTTCTATTTTCCCTTATGTCCATTTACACTGTGCAAGTACCCATGCTTTTCTGAACCTCCAATAATGCTCTTGATGTTTGGTATATCCTATTCATACAACTACTGAAATATTAATATAAATTAATTATTTACACACTGTCCTCCTAACTGACCCATGCATATCTCACAACACTACTATACAGTAAAGTAAAGCACAGAGAGAGAGAGAGAGAGAGAGAGAGAGAGAGAGAGAGAGAGAGAGATAGCAGGAAGATAGCAAATGAACGATAGATATCAAGGAGAAGAGAGTATATCATGATAAGAGAGAGAGAGCACAGTATTCTATAGAAAGAGATCGTCGGAATCCTCCTTTCCGTGCTCTCTCTCTCTCCTTCTCTCATCTCTCTCTCCCTATACGCGAGATCTAGATACTCCATATATAGATATTATATATAGAATATGAGATCGTATATACGACTATATATATATAGAGCCCGTATATATAGATCTTCTATTATCTCCTTATTCGATATATTATGTATTTCTATACTCTTCCTTCGTTCTCTCCTATCACTGTCTATAATATTCAAATACATCATTTCTAGTCGCAGTACTCTCTAGTACTCTATCTATATATCTTATATATATAATCATCTATCTCGTATATCTATATCTATATATACTATCTATCTATCCCTTCTCTCTCTATCTCTCGTATCCTTCTCTCTCCTCCTCTACTATGCCTCTATATACTATCTATCCACTTATGATAATATGCTTACTAATATATATTATACTGATCTATACTCTATATCTCATTTCGATACTTATCCCTCTCTCTACTTCTCTCTCCTTATCTCTGCTATTCCTTATGACTATATCTCTATCATCTATCATTATATATATATATATCTCATCTATCTAATCTCCTTATCTATATCAAGATATATTAGAGATGCATTACGATATATAATCATTATAGATATCATAGTATGCGCTCTCATGCATTCTACATCACTCCCTATCCACTCTCTCTTCTCTCTCCTCTCTCTCTACCTATTTCTCCTATTCCTTCTCCTCGCTCTACTCTCCCCCTCCTTCTCTATCTAATATCATTCTCTTCATATCTCTCCGTCTATACTACTCTCTCCTCTCCTCTTCGCCTTCTCCTCCATCCTTTCCCTCTATATAGCCGTGCTCTATATCCTCTCCCTATGTCTATGCTCTCCCATCTATCTACTATTCCTTCCTTACTCTGATCTCACTATTTCTCTCATCTCCTTACTTCTCCCTCTATATCATGATATATATATCTATATCATTATATGTAGATATATCTAGCGCAACCTCTATATGCTACTATCTAGTCGATCTTATATTAGATAGTATCCTTAATAGTAGTATATGATCTCAGTTATTTCTTCTGGGTATCAATTCTTCTATCTCCTCTATATATCTCTCATATATGCCTGATCTCTCTCCCTCTCGCTTCTCTATATCTTACTTACTCTCTGCCTGCTCTGTCTCTCTCCTTCTCGTCTCATCTCCTATAGATCTCTCTACATCTCTCCTTTGCTTTGCTCCCTCTCTCTCCCCCCTCTTTCTCTCATACATTCTCCATCATCTCTTATGCCTTCTCTCGTCTCTCGTCTCTTCTCCTCTCCCTCCTGTCTCTACCTACCCTTCTCTGATCCTTCTCTCTCCATCTCTCTCTCTCATCCGTCTTCGCTCTCCTCTCTCTCCCGCTCTCTCTCTCCTTCTGCTCCCTTCTCGCCTTCCCTCTCACTTCTCTAACTCACGCACCCCTTCCTCTCTCTCTCTCTCTCATCTGACTCTCCTTCTCTCCCTCCTCTCTCTCGATATAGAATCAGATCCTTATACTTATACGCATGTCGATATCATTCGATCGCGAGCGGGAGATCGCGAGCGAAGCAACATTCCTGCCTCATATCTCATCCTGAATATCTGATCTCTGAGAATTCCATTGTGTAGATATCTCAGATAGATCAGGATATCTTATCTCTCTCTCGATCCATGCGATAAGGAGACGAGAGCCGAGAGCGAGAGCGAGAGAGAGGAAGTAGAAAAGAGAGAGCCTTGAGAGAGAGAAGAGCAGGGCGCTGCGCGCTCGCTGCTCTTCTCGCTCCGCGCCGCTGCTCTCTGCTCTCTCGTCGCTCTCCGCGCTCTCTTAGCGAGAGAGAAGAGAGAGAGAGAGCGGAGAGAGAGCGAGAGAGAGAGATAGCGAGAGAGAGCAGGAGGAGAGAGAGCATGAGAGAGCAGGCCCCTCTCTCTTCCTCTCTCCTCTCCTTCTCTGCATCTCCCTCGCTTCTCTACTAGCCGTCCTCTCTCTCTCGCCTTCTCTTCTTTGGCCTCTACTCTGTCCTTTACTCTCTCTAGATCTCTCGCTTCTACCGTCTATCTCGATCCTTCTCCTCTAGTCTATATATCATGCTATAATATATATCTCATTATCAACTCTCTCTCTATCTCCCTATCTCTATATATTCTTCCTGCGCTCTCTCCTCGCTCCCATCTTCCTGCTGTCTCTCCTCTATCTCTCTCATCTCTCTCTCCTATATTCCTCCTCTCTATATCTCCCATCAAACTCCCTCTATCTCCTCCTCTTTAGCCTCTCGCTCTCCTTCCTTTCCTCTCTCTCATCTCCGCTTCTCCTTCTCTCTCGCTCTCTCTGCTCTCTCCTTCTTCTCCCTTCTGCTCTCTCTCTCCTATCTCTCTCTCTCTCTCTTCTCCTCCACTCTCTCCTCTCTCTCTCTCTCTCCCTTCTTCTTCTCTTCCCTACTCTTCTCTCTCTCTCTCGTCTCTTCCCTCTTCTCTCCTCCTCGCGCTCCTCTCTCGATGCCATCTATAGATCATTAGATATAGATATCAGACGAGGATAGAATCGCATTCGATATCTCCATCTATCTCTATCACTCTTCTATCCTCTGCGAGCATTTCTCGCTCTCATGAATAGATGCTATAGCATTAGATATAGATCCATTAATATATATCTTGATTATAGGTCGTCTCCATCTCTCTCCTCCACCTCTCCTTCTGCTCTCTCTCTCTTCCTCCTCCGCCTTCTCTGCTCTCTCTCTATCTCTCTCTCTCTCTCTCTGCTCTCTCCTCGTCCCACTTATCTGACTCTGCTCTACGCTCTCTTATCTACTATCACCCTTCCTCCTCGCTATCCATCATCAGCTCTCTCTCTTCTCGTCTCATCTTCCTTTCCTCCTCTCCTTCTCTCGCTCTCTATCTTCTCTATCTCTCCTCATTCCATAGCTCCCGCTCTCACTCTCTCGCAGCTCTCTATCATGAGATATAATACCTGAGAGAGCAGTCTAGATCTATCCGTATATAGCCGAGCTGATGCATATCTATAGAGTCAGTATATATCGATCGAAGGAGGCATTATCTAAAGTCTCTATATTATATCATTAGTAATTCTATATATAGATATATATTGATCTAATTATATCTATATCGATATCCTATATCTCGATATATATATAGATCCTATAAATAGAATATCATCAGAATAGATATAGATCATTATATGAGATATAATATATAGATATATATATAGATATATATTCTATCTATACTAGATAGTATATATATCTATCTACTATCAGTGCCTATATATCCGTATATATTCAGTAAGGAGATATACGATTATATCAGTATATACGTATACACTCATATACGATAATAGCATATATAATATCTATATCAGTACTATATCTATATAGATCGGAGATGCTATAGGATCAGAATCATTCTAGATATCGATAGATCATGAGAGATAGAGATATCCTATATGAGTATAGAGAGTATATATATAGAGCATATATATATAGAGATCATGATGATATATATATATATATATATGATATAGAGATAAAGAGCAAATAATGAAAGCTCCACACTAGTATATATCTATCGATTATCAATATCTACTCTGCTGATCTCTCTCTCTCTCTCCTTCTCTCTCTCTCCTCTCTCTATTCCCTTCTCTCTCTCCTCTCATCGTTCTCTCTCTCTGCCCCCAGCTTATTCTCTACTCCTCTCTCGCTCTCTCTCCTCTCTCTCTCTCTACCTCTCTCTCTCTCTCTCTCTCCTCTCCTCTCTCGCTCTCTCTCTCTCTCTCTCTCCCCCTCTTCTCCCATCTAATCTATACTTTAATCTATCTCTCCTTCTCTCTCCTCTCTCCTGGCCTTCCTCTGCTCCTTCTCTATCTCAGCCTTCGTCTCTCTCGTCTCTCTCTCTCTGCCTTCTCTCTCTCCTCTCTCTATCTCCCCTTCGCTCTCTCATCTCTCTCGTCTCTCTACTCACGTTTTCTCTCTTCTCTCTCTCTCTCTCTCTCTCTCTCTCTTCTGCCCTCTTCTCTCTCTCTCTCTCTCTCCTCTCTCTCTCTCTCTCTCTCCGTCTCGATCTCCCTCCTTCTATCTTCTCGCTTCTCCTTTCTCGCTCTCTCTCTCTTCTCTCTCTCGCTCTATCTCTCTCTCCTGTCGCTCTAGCTCTCATATCTCTCCTCTCTCTCTTCTCTCTCTCTCCTTATAATATCTTATATATAAGAGAATATTATCATATATATATATATATATATATAATCATTATATATATATATCTGAGATAATATATCATATATTCTAGCATTCTATATATCTATTATATAATATATATATATATATATATCTTATCTATATATTATATCTCAATATATATATATATATATATCATTATATATATATATATATATGCAGTTATATCATATATATAATATCTCCGTATATATTTATGATCATTATGCTCTCTCTCTCTCTCTCTCTTCCCACTCCTTCCTCCTACTCGCTCTCTCTCTCTCTCTCCCTCCGCTCGCCTCTCCTCTCTCCTTCCTCTCTTTCCTCTGCTCTCTCTCTTCCCCCTCCTTGCTCGCCTCTCTAGCGGAGAGAGAGTGCGAGAGAGAGAGCAACATAAAGGGAGAGGGAGAGGGAGAGGGATGGAGGGTGGGCGGGGAGAGGTCTGCTTTTGCTCTGTTGATTGTGCCCGCAGGACTGTTCTGTTTTGCAAGGAATCATCTTCCCATGAAAAGAGCTTTCATAAGGGCCTTGGTCATATGACCCAGGTTCTATGTTTGGAACTGTTCCTGAGCCAGTCAGCTAGATGTCTGAGGCACAATCATCTGACTCAGAACCACAAGGTCTGGGAGGTCTGGACTGCGGTTCAGTGGCTGCAGGGGTGTTCTTGAGTCTCAAACACAAATAGCATTGGTACCAAGGGGCTTAGCTAATACATCACTTTTTTAACACAAAGACAGACTGTTTTGTTCAGATTCAACTTTAATAGATACCAGAGCTGGGGTGAGATCTGGGGTCAGATGTAGAATGGAGTGACTAGGTATCCAGGGATTGATCTGAACCACGCAATGAATTACAGACCAGTGCCAGTCCAATACAACATGGATCTGAACCAACTCACTCAGCAACTCTCAGTTTCCTAGAACTGTCATCATTTTTGGACGTCCAGAGATAAACTTTAATTTCAGCCATCTCTTTATTCTACCCACTGGTTGGCTGGCCTCCTCAAATCAACTTTCAGTATTGTATTCCCTATTCAGTGATTGACTTGCGCCTTCTGACAAAAACAGCCAAAGAGCACAGGGTACACTGTGTCCAGAAGGCTGTTTGCACAAGGTTCTCAGTTAGGTGTGAGGTTCAGAGTTTGGGCGATAGGAGACATGGGGTTAATACAATTCTCACCCCACCTCTTTGAAGTCACGTAGATCACATCAATATGCTCTTTTTGTTTACAAAGCCCTGCTCCACAAACTTCTGACTTACCTAACATCACTGTTAAGATTTAAAATGACAAATTATCAAACCCGTTCACAGGGTTGGTTAACTCTGGAGACTCCTTTGGTATCTAGAGAGTTAGGTAAATCAACCTTTAATTTCCTTGCAACTTACTTGTGGAATGATCTACAATACACTTTAAAATGTGAGGAATTGGTGCCTCTAGGGCATTTCAGATGGTTGTTAGGGGACCTTTTTACTGAACAATGTGTAAAAAGGTCAAAATAAAGGTTGGCTGGGGCAGACTGGGGTAGGGCAGGTTGGGGAAGGGCATTCAGAAACACACAGAGAGCTGACAACTGGCATCATGGTTATTATGTGTCTGTATGTATCGTTGTTGTATAACCACAGTCTGTTTCTAGTGCATCTGAGAATTATAAAACCATATGACATATTTAAACTGCATTGTATGGCACTGTGTTGAGTTTAATGCATGGATGTGTGTGAGAGCTGGAGGCTTAAAGGAGAGGTTGATGGTACTCACTCTTTGCAGTCTGCAGAGACATGGGCGGGGACGGTGTAGCGACAGTCCATAATCATGGTGAGCGTCTCACTGTCATTGGTCTCCTGGAAAGGGGGCTGTCCACACACAAGCATGAAGAGGATCACCCCCAGCGACCAAATATCTGTAACACAAACACCATGCATACAGTCACCATAGATACAATACATAAACACATTGTCAAACTTCATAAAGTGAGTATGCACACACATACTATATGATCACTAGGGCCCAGAGATTTGTATGGTCAGGTCACATGATCAAGAAAAAACTGCTTGCCCTAATAATCACTCGAACAAACCAACCAACAAACATCTACAGTATAACTTATCCCTCAGTAGGCTGGTTCCAGTGGCTGAAATGAATGATGTTGTTTACAGGTCCAGGTTTTTGTCCCAGACAGCTAGGTGAGTACATACAGTAACTCTCCCTCCCCCAGGCACAGTGTCAGAGGCAGGGTCTGGAGCCTGGAGCAAGCACACAGGCCTTGAGACACTCACCCACACTGTGAGTGGCCCTATGAGACAGAGAGAGCCAACCCTCCATGAACAGAAACAACCCTACCCAGTGAGTGGCCTATAAAGACCATCTACCCCATGGATGGTCCCAGTGGACGAAGACAACTGTCCCTGTTGAGGGCCTTTGACACAGACCAACTCACCCCAGTGTGAGTACTATGACAGAACCACCTCCCAGCACACGTGGAGGCCGTTGGAGACTGGAGCCAACTCACCACAGGGGTGCCTATGGACAGAAGAGAACTCTCACCCACACTTGAGTGGCCCATGAGACGAGAGAGCCAATCTACCACCCACTGTGGTGGCCCTATGAGACAGGAGACCAACCTCTCACCCACCACACTCTTCCTTGGTCCCTATGGCCTCCCAGAGCTCTATGGTCTGGCTCTGTCTGTGCATCTTCTTAGCATGCTTCAGTTCCCATAGACTTGCAGATCGCCATAGACTCTAGTACTGGCCAAGCAGTTAGCAGCTCGAAATCCTCTACTCCTAGACGGAAATATGGTATTCGCAAAGGTCATTCTGACTCTGGGGAAGTTGCCAAAATCCCGAAGTATCCCTTTAAGGTTCAGTTAATGATGTCTGTGAGAAAGCCAGAACACCCCATGGCACAGATTATTAATGCTGTATGAGGGCAGATATTACCCATGTGGAATCCCTGTGATTATTCTCCTATTCTGTTCTGTCTCTGCCTAATTCCTGCAATCTCTCTCTATATACTGTTTATACACTGAACAAAAATGTAAACGCAACATGCTACAATTTCAAAGATTTTAATGAGTTACAGTTCATATAATAAAATCAGTCAATTGAAATAAATGAATTAGGCCCTAATCAATGGATTTGCATCTGTTGGTCATAGATACTTACAAAAAAAGTAGGGACGTGGATCAGAAAAACAGTCAGTATCTGGCGTGACCACCATTTTCCTCATGCAGCGCGACACATTACATTTACATTTTAGTCATTTAGCAGACGCTCTTATCCAGAGCGACTTATAGTTAGTGAGTGCATACATTTTCATACTGGCCCCCCGTGGGACTCGAACCCACTACCCTGGCGTTGCAAACGCCATGCTCTACCAACTGAGCTACACGGGACACATCTCCTTCACATATAGTTGATCAGGCTGTTGATTGTGGCCTGTGGAATGTTGCCCCACTCCTCTTCAATGGCTGTGCGAAGTTGCTGGATATTGGGGGAACTGGAACATGCTGTCGTACACGTTGATCCAGAGCATCCCAAACATGCTTAATGGGTGACATGTCTGGTGAGTATGCAGGCCATGGAAGAACTGGAAAATGTTCAGCTTCCAGGAATTGTGTACAGATCCTTGCGACATGGGGCCTTGCATAATCATGCTGAAACATGAGGTGATGGCGGCGAATGAATGGCATGACAATGGGCCTCAGGATCTCGTCACGGTATCTCGTTGCATTCAAATTGCCATCAATAAAATGCAATTGTGTTTGTTGTCCTTAGCTTATGCCTGCCCATACCATAACCCCACCGCCACCATGGGGCACTCCGTTCACAATGTTGACATCAGCAAACTGCTCACCCACACGACGCCATACTCGCTGTCTGCCATCTGCCCGGTACAGTTAAAACCGGGATTCATCCGTGAAGAGCACACTTCTCCAGCATGCTAATGGTCATCAAAGGTGAGCATTTGCCCACTGAAGTCGGATACGACGCCGAACTGCAGTCAGGTCAAGACCCTGGTGAGGACGACGAGCACACAGATGAGCTTCTCTGAGATGGTTTCTGACAGTTTGTGCAGAAATTCTTCAGTTGTGCAAACCCACAGTTTCATCAGCTGTCCGGGTGGCTGGTCTCAGATGATCCCGCAGGTGAAGAAGCTGGATGTGGAGGTCCTGGGCTGGCGTGGTTACACATGGTCTGTGAGGCCTGTTGGACGTACTGCCAAATTCTCTAAAATGACGTTGGAGGTGGCTTGGTAGAGAAATTAACATTAAATTATCTGGAAACAGCTCTGGTGGACATTCCTGCAGTCAGCATGTCAATTACACGCTCTCTCAAAACTTGAGGCATTTGTGGCCTTTTGTTGTGTGACAAAACTGCACATTTTAGGGTGGCCTTTTATTGTCCCCAGCACAAGGTGCACCTGTGTAATGATCATGCTGTTTAATCAGCTTCTTGATATGCCACACCTGTCAGGTGGATGGATTATCTTGGTAAAGGAGAAATGCTCACTATTAGGGATGTAAATACATTTTTGCACAAAATTTAAAGATAAATAAGCTTTTTGTGCATATGGAACATTTCTCTGATCTTTGATTACAGCTCATAAAACATAGGACCAACACTTTACATGTTGTGGTTATATTTTTGTTCAATATATATTGTTTGGCTACCTAATGCTTTCACTCACTCACACTGTGTGTTTGTGTGTGTGCGTTCGTTCGTTCGTTCGTTCGAGCAAGTGTGTGAGTATGAGGATCATGTGCAGACAGACAGAGCTCTGTTTATCTGCAGGAATCAATGCTGCTAATTATCGACCTGCCCACAATTTGATGTGTGCAGGTCAATGGAGTGGGCTTCTGACGGCCAAGTCTCGGCGATCTCTATCTCAATATATAATATGTAAAATTCAACCGATCTCCTCTATATCTATATGCGCAAAACTCCCTGCATCTTCTCAAGCACCTCTCCTAGAACTCTGAAAACCCTGAAAAGATAAAGGGGGACCTGAATGGAAAAATGAGAAAGAAGCCCTTCTCCCTGCACACCTCTCTCCCTTAACTTCCTCTATAACTTCTCACTACCTCTCCCTCTACCCTCCGCCCTCTCCCTTCACCCTCTCCTTGCGTCCTCTCCCTGCGCCCTCTCCCTCTTCTCCCTGTTCTCCCTCCGCCTCCTCTCCCTGCCCCCCCCCACACCCTCTAAATATCCCAGCAGATGGTGTTTGTCTCCAGAGGAGAAATCTGCTCCCTCACACAGAGGAAATACTCTGTCCTTGAGTACATAATGAGAGCCCTCTCCCCCTCTCCCCCTCTACATCTCTCGCTCCCTCTAAACCTCACCCCATCTGTTCATAATTTAGTACAAAACTCAAAACAGATAATCAAAAAGGCAGTTGTTTCAAAACTCTAAACACATTTTCAATTGACTAAGTACAACACAAAATGTATAAAAGCTTAGATATTAATTTAGAATACTCTAAATGTAATGAGATCTACAAGGACATTTTATTGATCTGCCAGTATTTTCATTTAGAGATTCCGGTAAACTCTTTGATGTTTCCTTTCATGTGTCCTACCAATTATTATTGGATTATTCACCATGGCAACCACTTGTTAGTATAAAAACAAACTTATTTCTAAGTTAGGTTGGCTTTCGTGGAGATCAGACCGTTTTTATTTGCAGGGATATTTGTGCGTTTTTGACCAAATACCACATGTATACTCTGTTTCATCATTAAACTCCTAGACTGGGCTTCTGTGTCTGTCATCACTCTTTGACCAGAGTGCAGTCCAGTATCCGTTTACTCCCAGTGGCCTATCCACACATTAGAGAGCACCAGACTCCGTTTTACAAAATCATAGTCACCTTTTCACCAAACTTAATTAGTGTTTTATCTAGAAATACAATTAGTGTTTTATCTAGAAAGTATTTGCCTTTTTATATGATTCTCTTCTATTTTGTTAAAATATATTACTTAATCCGACTGCTCTTAATTGACGATCACTTAAATGTTTGGTAAACCTACAGATTTTACATGTAAACTGGTTTGTCTACTAGAGATTTTGAGAAATACATTATGAAAATGTATGTCTGTGAAGTAGAAACATAAAAAGTATGATATATACTTGAATGTTAAGGCAGAACAGAGGTAGACAGACAAGTTCTACTGAAATAGCCCAGGACACAAGACAAGACAGAGGGCCTGAGATGGTATCTGACTATCTGTTCTTCTCCACACTGCTTGGTTTGGCTTATGTAACGTTAACAGCCATGTGTTAGTTAGACACAAAAAACAGGCCCCCTGTCCCATCGCCATGGGTCTGGGATGAACCCTGCATGGCTCTGCACTATGCACTCTGCACACACAGGCCTTTGATTGTCTCTGCCTCATCATATAACCACTGTGTTCAGATAGTCACGCTGCTCTCATAATAACTAGGAGACAGACAGACACTCAGTTCAATGCCCCTGGGGATCCATTCACAGCAGTATACAGTACCCACCTATACTATATTCCACACAATATAAAGTACACACTGTACAAATATTCAATACGTGATTCTACATGTGTGTGCGTGTGTGTGTGTGTGTGTGTGTGTGTGCATGTGTGTGTCTCTACAGCTCTTCTTTCACACCTGGCAGTGTGCTGCAAGGCTACATTCTGTCCATTCAGCAGATGAAAGTCCAATCTTCCAGGTGTCATTTATCTTCAAAGTGTAGTTGGAAATTCTTGCATTGGAAATTCAATTCACTTTCTGAATTGCCTGAATTGAAATGGAGTTGAGCCCAAACCCTGCTGCGTTGTGCTGTGCGGTGTTGTGTTATGCTTTGCAGTGCTATGTTATCATTAGCAGGGCTGTATGGCAGTGTAGTGGCAGTGTAGTGGCAGTGGGCCTCAGTGAGCGAGCTGCCTCTCTCAGCTGGCACTCTGTCACTGAGGCCTAATGAGTGGATTAAACCAGCACCTGGTTAGTGGACCAAGATAAGAGCATGCTGAGCTAATGAATATTCATTCAGTGTCAGTCGTACTGTAACTGTACACCACCAGCCAGGGAACCTGTGGAAATACTACATCACACTGACTCAGGCTCCATTCATGGGGTTTTCAGGTGTCATCTGAAGACTACTGAGTCACAGAGACTAGACCATAGAATTGTATATACAATCCTGTAGTAATAGGAACTAATAGGAACCACACACACACACACACACACACACACACACTCATCAGGCCTTGTCCCAGCTTGACTTCAATACAGCCTGTCAGATAACATCAGAGACAAGTTGACACTAGAAACAAGGTCTCTTCAGCCACATGGCTATGTGTGTGTTTCCCAGGCTCTGCTTAGACAGGGCGCTAATCACTGGGTCATCATGACTGGGCTCAAACCAGGCCGTGTGCCAGGCACTGCCATTCCCAGCATGCCACACAATCTGATTATACCACAATGAGCCTCAAGCCCACTGGGCAGACTGCCACTGGTCAGTTCACACAGTCACACACAACACCAAGGCCACCCACATGCAATAGGCCCAAAAATGAGGGATTTTATTTTACAGAAGTGCCACTGCCGTGCAAGCCAATGTTTTGATTTATTACTAAAATGTGTCACAGATGTGTTTGTGGATTAACTGGTAAATCAACCGGATGTATTAACCAGACGGTAATAAAAAAATGGCCTCTAATTTACTTGAGCATCCACTACAAATGTAGGTGAGCACAGCCCAAACAAGATTGCTTGTGCACACAGTGACACACATAGGACTGATCAGAGAATATAGCTCTAAGGATTCTGTCACAAATCTCCTGGGCTGGCTAGTGTAGTCTTTATTTTGGGGCATGTTTGAGGTGTGTAGGTGCTCCTGCCAGGTCCTGATTTTGCAGGTGAATGAGGTGGTTGTGTTTTGGTTTTGGTTTCAGTGCACGTGACTAAACTCCTGTGGTCCCTCTGCAGTGGGCGGCCCACTTGGCTCTGGGCACCTGGCAGGCTGATCTGGATCTGTGTCTCAGAGGAGTCTGACCCAGTTAGGGGCTTTAATCCTGGCACACTCCCAGTCCAGCACCACATACAGCTCAGTAAGTATTACTGTAGTATTAGGAGTCCTGCTTGGGTCACACTCTGTGCTGAAACGTCGACATCAAACAGTCTCAACTATATTTTATACAATATGTACCCATAGGGGATATACTTTACCTAGTGTAGCGCTGATCTTCATTATTTCACATGGACAATCCCATCAGCAGTTATGACTAAGGCATGTAGAGAACCACACTGTGGACTAGTAGTGTCGTGGTGAGATGAGGTGTGAATCTGATTAGATTCCCTCTAAGCTGTAATCCTGTCCTCCTGTATGTTTGTCTGTCTGTGTCATTGAACACTCAGGTGTTCCCTGGCCAGTGGCCATTACCTAGCAGATCTAATAGGGTTACTGGATTCCACACTGCTAGGAACACAAGGAATTACTCTGCCCTCACTCACCTCTTCTACTGTCTCTCAGTGTTCTGTTAGGGTGTTAATGGCACAGCACCATAACACTTTCCACGTGTGTGAGGATGTCATGGTGTTTTCACAATAACAGTCCATTTTCTTAGCAATGAGGTCAGGTGAATAAGGTGCAGCCAGGTGTTCATACAGTTGAAGTCGGAAGTTTACATACACTTAGGTTGGAGTCATTAAAACTCGTTTTTTCAACCACTCCACAAATTTCTTGTTAACAAACTATAGTTTTGGCAAGTCGGTTAGATCATCTACTTTGTGCATGACACAAGTAATTTTTCCAACAATTGTTTACAGACAGATTATTTCACTTATAATTCACTGTATCACAATTCCAGTGGGTCAGAAGTTACATACACTAAGTTGACTGTGCCTTTAAACAGCTTGGAAAATTCCAGAAAATGATGTCATAGCTTTAGAAGCTTCTGATAGGCTAATTGACATAATTTGAGTCAATTGGAGGTGTACCTGTGGATGTATTTCAAGGCCTACCTTCAAACTCAGTGCCTCTTTGCTTGACATCATGGAAAAATCAAAAGAAATCAGCCAAGACCTCAGAAAAAAAATGGTAGACCTCCACAAGTCTGGTTCATCCTTGGGAGCAATTTCCAAACGCCTGAAGCTACCACGTTCATCTGTACAAACAATAGTAAGCAAGTATAAACACCATGGGACCACGCAGCCGTCATACCGCTCAGGAAGGAGACGCGTTCTGTCTCCTAGAGATGAATGTACTTTGGTGCGAAAAGTACAACTCAATCCCAGAACAACAGCAAAGGACCTTGTGAAGATGCTGGAGGAAACAGGTACAACAGTATCTATATCCACAGTAAAACAAGTCCTATATCGACATAACCTGAAAGGCCGCTCAGCAAGGAAGAAGCCACTGCTCCAAAACCGCCATAAAAAAGCCAGACTACGGTTTGCAACTGCACATGGGGACAAAGATCGTACTTTTTGGAGAAATGTCCTCTGGTCTGATGAAACAAAAATAGAACTGTTTGGCCATAATGACCATTGTTATATTTGGAGGAAAAAGGGGGGCTTGCAAGCCGAAGAACACCATCCCAACCATGAAGCACGGGGGTGGCAGCATCATGCTGTGGGGTTGCTTTGCTGCAGGAGGGACTGGTGCACTTCACAAAATAGATGGCATCATGAGGAAGGAAAATTATGTGGATACATTGAAGCAACATCTCAAGGAAGTTAAAGCTTGGTCGCAAATGGTTCTTCCAAATGGACAATGACCCCAAGCACACTACCAAAGTTGTGGCAAAATGGCTTAAGGACAACAAAGTCAAGGTATTGTAGTGGCCATCACAAAGCCCTGACCTCAATCCTACAGAAAATGTGTGGGCAGAACTGAAAAGGCGTGTGCGAGCAAGGAGGCCTACAAACCTGACTCAGTTACACCAGCTCTGTCAGGAGGAATGGGCCAAAATTCACCCAACTTATTGTGGGAAGCTTGTGGAAGGCTACCCGAAACATTTGACCCAAGTTAAACAATTTAAAGGCAATGCTACCAAATACTAATTGAGTGTATGCAATCTTCTGACCCACAGGGAGGGAATGTGATGAAAGAAATAAAAGCTGAAATAAATCATTCTCTCTACTATTATTCTGACATTTCACTTTCTTAAAATAAAGTGGTGATCCTAACTGACCTAAGACAGGGAATTTTTACTAGAATTAAATGTCAGGAATTGTGAAAAACTGAGTATAAATGTATTTGGCTAAGGTGTATGTAAACTTCTGACTTCAACTGTATCTTCATAGTTCATTCACTCTCCCTGCACTACTCTCCATTTAATTTAATTTGATTAATTTAATTTGATTTAATTTTTTGATTTGACTTCATTGAAGAAAAGCCTATATACAACCCTGTCTGTCTGCGGTAAACAGACCAGATTAAAAACAACATCAGTGTGCGGACACTGAACTGTGAGTGGCAACCCACAATCCTCCTATCCTGACACAGAGACAACTATATACCTGGCTCTGGGCTTTAAGCCATGCATGTACACAGCTTCACTGTCCCTGGCCTGGATTAAAGCCTTGCGAGGATTGCTACAACCACGCCGCCTATCCATGCGCAAATTACATTTCCATTCCAGATTCTCTGCAGCCCAGAGAGTACTCCATCTGTTCACATTTGTGTGTGTGTGTGTTAATGTGAATGTGAATGTGTGTGTGTGTGTGTGTGTGTGTGTAGAAAGTCTACAGCCCCTTTAACTTTTTTTCACATTTTGTTGCCTTAAAATCTAAATAGGGATTCAATTAATATATACTTGTGTTGGGTGAGCTAGAGGTATTCCTGCATCACTGACAGACCCACAGACAGTACCACAGATAAACCCATGTTAATCTCTCCAGCTTTATCTTGGTCTCAGAGGATTTGTGGTAATTCTGTGTAGCTCCCTGGGTTCACGTCTTGGTTTTTGCCCTAGCTCTACACAGCTGATTAAAATAACCAACTCATCATCAAGCTTTGATAATTTGAATCCGCTTTGTAGTGCTAGGGCAAAAACCAAAACCAAAATGTCCCAGGACCGAGTTTGGGAAACCCTGGCTTAGAAGGACCTGAATGTGGTCTTATGGACAGAATAAAGACATCTGTGAATAGTTTATTTGTCTGTAAAATGGGTCACACGCAGAAATTTTTTCTATGGAGAATTATATGGAACTGTCTTTTCACATATATCTTTCTCTCATCTCTTGAGCCTTATGATAGAAACAGCCAGCCAGCAAGCCATCCATCCATCCAGCAAGCCAGACAGACAGACAGTTAACCAGCCAGACAACCAGATGGACAGACAGACCCCCTGCTCATCCAGACACCCACTGTCCAGGTCACCCATGTGTCTTACCTACAGCCGGAGCGTCATACTCATCCCCCAGCAGGATCTCTGGGGCGGAGTAAGCCAGCGAGCCACAGCTGGTCATTAGCATGGTCCCGGGCTTGAAGAGGTTGCTGAAGCCAAAGTCGGTCAGCTTGACTGTTCCCTGCTGCCTGAAGAAAACCACATTCTCTGGCTTGAGGTCTCGGTGCACCACGTGGAGCTGGTGACAGTAGGAGATGGACCGGACGATCTGGGCGAAGTGAACTTTAGCCGTGTCCTCGGCCACGCCACCCTCATGACGCAGGATGTAGTCATACATGTCCCCTCCGTCGCCCAGCTCCAGGATAAGGTAGAGCTTGGTGGCGGTGTCGATGACCTCGTAGAGCCGCACCACGTTGGGGTGCTGCACCAGCTTCATACAGCGCACCTCCTGCAGCAGGTGGCCTGTCGCCATGGCGTCCAGTTTGGTCTTGTCAATCACCTTGACCGCCACCAGCTGGCCTGTGAAGACGTGGCGGGCCAGCTTGACCACGGCGAAGTGGCCTTTCCCCAGCGTGCGATCCAGGTCGTAGAGGCCGGCGATCTTGCCCTCGTAGCCACTCTTGGAAGCAGCCATATCTGGGTGGAGCGGGGCGAGGGCGGGGTGAGGGGAGTGGTGTGTTGGTGCTGGAGACAGTCTCAGTCTGGATGAGGGGTCTCGGTATGAAGAGAGGGAGGGGCTGGAGGCTCTCTCTACTGATGCATTACCTGGACAAACAGAGCGATGGGAAACACAGTCAGTACTTCATATCAAACAAGATGGAGGAGGGGTTTTATTGTCCAGATTGGTATGGGAGATGTGGTGTTTGAAATACTATAAAAATCACTATGATCCTAACAACATCACAATGTACTGCAATTTCTTCAGCCCTGCAGTCTGTTGCAGGCAGCTATGTTCCTTATTAAAGTTTGATTGCTCAGATCAGTGGTACAGACAGTGCTCAGTGGGTGGTCTGCCAAAATAAAGGCTCCACTGACAGATTTACCATTTAACATTACAGTACTGCTATGGTGACAACACACATTAAACAACTTTCATGAAGCAATTCATTGTATAGGCCTTATGCCTACAGATCTCACATACGGGCAATTCTACACCAGCGAAAAACATTTTTGGTATCTCAGATTATTCTGATATATAAACTTAATTTAAGTTTTTGTCATTTAGCAGATGCTCTTATCCAGAGCGACTTACAGTAGTGAATCCATACATTTACGTACTGGTCCCCCATGGGAATCAAACCCACAACGTTGCCATTGCAAGCGCCATGCTCTACCAACTGAGCTACACGGGAGGAAGGATGTTTGAAATGCTTTTACATTTGTATCACAAACAATCATTTTTGGGGGGTATTGCCATGTTAGGCCCTTCTTAGACCTACTGTACACAGTGCATTCGGAAGGTATTCAGACCCCTTGACTTTTTCCACATTTTGTTATGTTACAGCCTTATTCTAAAATGGATTAAAAAAACAAAAAAACATCAATCTACATTTACATTTTAGTCATTTAGCAGACGCTCTTATCCAGAGCGACTTATAGTTAGTGAGTGCATACGTTTTTCATACACACTCTACACACAACAGGTTTTTAGAATTTTTTGCAAATGTATTAAATATAAAGAACTGAAACCGAGACAGGATTGTGTTGAGGCACAGATCTGGGGAAGGGTACCAAAATTGTTCTGCAGCATTGAAGGTCCCCAAGAACACAGTGGCCTCCATCATTCTTAGATGGAAGAAGTTTGGAACCACCAACACTCTTCCTAGAGCTGGCCGCCCGGCCAAACTGAGCAATTGGGGGAGAAGGGCTTTGGTCAGGGAGGTGACCAAGAACCCGATGTTCCTCTGTGGAGATGGGAGAACCTTCCAGAAGGACAACCATCTCTGCAGCACTCCACCAATCAGGCCTTTATGGTAGAGTGGCCAGACGGAAGCCACTCCTCAGTAAAAGGCACATGACAGCCTGCTTGGAGTCTGCCAAAAGGCACCTAAAGGACTCTCAGACCATGAGAAACAAGAATCTCTGGTGTGAAGAAACCAAGATTGAACTCTTTGGCCTGAATGCCAAGCATCACGTCTGGAGGAAACCAGGCACTATCCCTACGGTGAAGCATGGTGGTGGCATCATCATGCTGTGGGGATGTTTTTCAGTGGCAGGGACTGGGAGACTAGTCAGGATCGAGGGAAAGTTGAACGGAGCAAAGTACAGAGAGATCCTTGATGAAAACCTGCTCCAGAGTGCTCAGGACCTCAGACTGGGGCGAAGGTTCACCTTCCAACAGGACAACGACCCTAAGCACAAAGCCAAGACAACGCAGGAGTGGCTTCAGGACAAGTCTCTGAATGTCCTTGAGTGGCCCAGCCAGAGCCCGGACTTGAACCTGATCGAACATCTCTGGAGAGACCTGAAAATAGCTGTGCAGCGACGCTCCCCATCTAACCTGACAGAGCTTGAGAGGATCTGCAGAGAACAATGGGAGAAACTCCCTAAATAAAGGTGTGCCAAGCTTGTAGCATCATACCCAAGAAGACTCAAGGCTGTAATCGCTGCCAAAGGTGCTTCAACAAAGTACTGAGTAAAGGGTCTGAATATTTCCGTTTTTTATTTGTAATAGATTTGCAAACATTTCTAAAAACCCGTTTTTGCTTTGTCATTATGGGGTATTGTGTGTAGATTGATGAGGGAAAAAAATAATTGTATCTATTTTAGAATAAGGCTGTAACGTAACAAAATGTAGAAAAGTGAAGGGGTCTGAAAACTTTCCGAATGCACTGTATATGCCTCCTGTAAGACCATATGATCTGTGAACAATACATGATACAGAAAACATATTGGTGTCATTATACTCTTTATAGTGTTCTCTCAAATATGGAGCATGTCTAGATTCTGAAATATAAAATGTTCACATTCATTTATTCAACATTAACAATATTAATATTGATATTTCAAAACTACCTTTTTTGATTTTGCTTATTTTAGACATATTGTCTGTAACAACATACTCTTCAAATTAGGGTTGTCACGATACCAGTATCGCGATACTACAATAACAGATTTTCCACTAATTAGACTTAAATTTATCCCCATTGAGACTGTGTCTGTGCCTCGATCTAGGTTGGGCAAAACTAAAAATGGTGGTGTTCGCTTTAGCAATCTCACTGGAATAAAGACCTCCTCCATTCCTGTCATTATTGAAAGAGATTGTGATATCGCACATCTCAAAATAGGGCTACTTAATGTTAGATCCCTCACTTCCAAGGCAGTCATAGTCAATGAACTAATCACTGATCATAACCTTGATGTGATTGGCCTGACTGAAACATGGCTCAAGCCTGATGAATATACTGTGTAAAATTAGGCCTCTCCATCTGGTTACACTATTGACCATATCCCCCACGCATCCCACAAAGGCGAAGGTGTTGCTAACATTTACGACAGCAAAAAAAAAATACAAGGAGTGCGTTTTTGTGTTTTGAGCTTCTAGTCATGAAATCTATGCAGCCTACTCAATCACTTTTTAAAGCTACTGTTTACAGGCCTCCTGGCCATATACAGCGTTCCTCAGTGAGTTCCCAGAATTCCTATCGGACCTTGTAGTCATGGCAGATAATATTCACATTTTTGGTGACTTCAATATTCACATGGAAAAGTCCACAGACCCACTCCAAAAGGCTTTCGGAGCCATCATCGACTCAGTGGGTTTTGTCCAACATGTCTCCGTACCTACGCATTGCCACAGTCATACCCTGAATCTAGTTTTGTCCAGTGGAATAAATATTGTGGATCTAAATGTTTTTCCTCATAATCCTGGACTATCGGACCACCATGTTATTATGTTTGCAATCGCAACAAATAATCTGTTTAGACTCCAAACCAGGATTATCAAAAGTACATTTAACCTTGCGTAATACCCTAGATGCAGTCACACCCCTAAAAACAACAAAATATTTGTCACAAGAAATTAGCTCCCTGGTATACAGAAAATACCCGAGCCCTGAAGCAAGCTTCCAGAAAATTGGAACGGAAATGGCGCTCCACCAAATTGGAAGACTTCCGACTATCTTGGAAAGACAGTACCGTGCAATATCGAAGAGCCCTCACTACTGCTCGATCAGCCTATTTTTCGAACCTAATTGAGGAGAATAAGAACAATCCTAAATGTATTTTTGATAATGTCGCAAAGCGAACTAAAAAGCAGTATTCCCCAACAGAGGATGGCTTTCACTTCAGCAGTGATGAATTCATGAACTTCTTAGACGAAAAGATCATGATCACTAGAAAGCAAATTACAGACTCCTCTTTGAGTCTGCGTATTTCTCCAATGCTCAGTTGTCCTGAGTCTGCACATAACTGCCAGGACCTAGGATCAATGAAGACACTCAAGTTTTTTAATCATGTATCTCTTGACACATTCACGAAAATAGTCATGGCCTCTAAACCTTCCAGCTGCATACTGGACCCTATTCCAACTAAACTACTGAAATACCTACTTCATGTGCTTGGCCCTCCTATGTTGAACATAATAAATGGCTCCCTATCCTCCGGATGTGTACCAAACTCACTAAAAGTTGGCAGTAATAAAGCCTCTCTTGAAAAAGCCAAATCTTGACCCGGAAAATGTAAAACAAATATTGGCCTATGTCAAATCTCCCATTCCTCTCAAAGAAAATGTGAAAGCTGTTGCGCAGCAACTCACTGCCTTCCTGAAGACAAAAAATGTATACAAAACACTTCAGTCTGGTTTTAGACCCCATCATAGTACTGAGACTGCACTCGTGAAGGTGGTAAATTACCTTTTAATGGCTTCAGACCAAGGCTCTGCATCTTTCCTCGTGCTCCTAGACCTTAGCGCCACTTTTGACACCATCGATCACCACATTCTTTTGGAGAGATTGGAAACCCTAAATGGTCAATGCGGACAAGTTCTTACCTGGTTTAGATATTATCGGTCGTAAAGATATGTTTGTCTTTGTGGATGGTTTGTCCTCTGGTGTTCCTTAATGTTTCATTTTAGGACCACTATTGTTTTCACTATATATTCTACCTCTTGATGATGTCATTTGGAAACACAATGTCAACTTTCACTGCTATGCGGATGACACACAGCTGTACATTTCGATGAAACATGGTGAAGCCCCAAAATTGCCTACCCTGGAAGCCTGTGTTTCAGACATAAGGATGTGGATGGAGGCAAATGTTTTAATTTTAAACTCGGACAAAACAGAGATGCTAGTTCTTGGTCCCAAGAAACAAAGAGATCTGCTGTTTGATCTGACAATTAATCTTGATGGTTGTACAGTCGTCTCAAATAAAACTGTGAAGGACCTTGCCTTTCCCCTGGACCCTGATCTCTCTTTTGATGATGATATCAAGAATATTTCAAGGGCAGCTTTTTTCCATCTTCGTAACATTACAAAACCCAGAAACCTTTTGTCCAAAAATTATGCAGAAAAGCTAATCCATGCTTTTGTCACTTCTAGATTAGACTACTGCAATGCTCTACTCTCGGGATACCCGGGTAAAGCACTTCAGTTAGTGCTAAATACGGCTGCTAGAATCTTGACTAGTACCAAAGAATTTCATCATATTACTCCAGTGCTAGCCTCGCTACACTGGCTTCCTGTTAAGGCTAGGGCTGATTTCAAGGTAGATGCTAATCTACAAAGCATTACATGGACTTGCTCCTACCTATCTCTCCGATTT